AAACTTCGATTATAAACAACTTTGCTTCTGTTCGTCTCTCAAATACACGTGTGAAGCATCCTCGAGGCTATATTGATTGATGTTCAATGCTGATTGCTTATGCAGTAGCTAAGTTATAGCGTCGAACAAATCAAACAAGAAACAACTCGGTTTTTTGGTGAAAAAAACATCATGAAAACAATCCAGCCAGTGCACACAATTGAAATGATAATAATTCGGACTCGATTTAAAGTGATGTCTGTTTCATGAGGAAGAACAACCAAACGTAATGAATGTTGTTTTGATCTGCAGTTGAAACAAATACAACTACGAGCTCTCGAGTTCAAACGCGGGGATAAAGAGAAGTTATGTATATTCTCATGTGAGCAATAATTATTGTTTATGAAGAATTTCATTGCATAATTTAATGAGCTGGTACGTGTATGTCGGTGTTTGTAGCTGCATGAAGGCCGAGGTTCGACTATTATACATTGATATGAGGGATAGAATTTTATTTGATGTCCATATTTGATTATAGCCATGACATAATCATATATTGATAGACATGATATAATCAAGAATACAACACATATTTTGCAAACTAAGCAATCTTTATTTCTGAGTTTGTGCATAATTTCAGTGGCTATGATCAAAAGTTAGCTGAACATGAATATATTCTTCATGATAAAAGCAGTATTTAGGAGTAATTATGTATGGATTGTTGAAACTTTATAGCTTGCCTCTTGAACATATTATCGTCAGAAACGATAAGAAGCGATAAACGAGAACCCACGTTCAGCTTATTGAATTTTATATTCGCTGCGCCATGAAAAATACCATTGATGAGGGTTCATTCGAAAACGCGAGAAAATAATAAGAAAAAATTGCAATGATTGACTGAGATTGAAAAACGGGAACTATTTTTCAAATTCCTTAATTAAAAATTGATGATAGTTCACGTAGAACGCTGGAAAATCGAAAGTAAATATCATGTCGCTGAGCAAATCTTTTTCTGGCGCACCGCCAGCAAGTTACTGGCGAGGCGGCCGTGTTCCTTGCGCCCCTGTAGCTCTGCAAAAGTTAGGCACAAGATAAAAGTTTCGCGATTCGTCATCTCGACGCGCGACAATTTGCATGCGGAAGCAAGCGAAGGACTGAAATACCCACAAGGCACCAAACTTATGCCAAGGGTCGTTCAGAAAGAAAAGCTGAACGCACCTCAAACGTTGTGACCAAAGACAGTCGGTATTCTTCAAATAAATCTAAAACTATTTGGTTTGTCAAAAAACATTGCAATTTATAATATAGATATATTAGATTTTGACTCGTAGCTTAGTCGCAAATGTATAAACTTTTGCACTCATAAGTTCACATTTTACACGTTTCCCTTGAAAGTGTTTGCCGCTGCTTGCATCACTGCTCGACTCGAGTCGGGGGCATTCAACAAGCTGACAGCGGCAAGCATCCGTGTGCTATTTTCCGTTCTAAGCAAATAAACAACATATATTAGTGTTTCCTTATCAAAAAATTTAAAACGTGCACTATAAATCATTGCGCTAATTGTTTCTAGCTGGAATGTATGGAGAATCCAACTATGTTCATGCAATTTCATGGTTGTTTTTATCTTATGAATTTTAAGCCTGAAATAATTTAGAGTTGAAAATCGAATTTCGATGCTTGAAATTTGTGAAATATATCTAGATTCGTATTTGACTTTGCAGTGAGGGTCTTTGGCGCGTGTTTTATATTCAGATAAACTTCATGGAATCAATCAAAGTTGGACTAACAGGGAAGATGATCGCTTTTATAATATTATTTGAATACAAACGAATATTAGCTGATCTACATTTATTTCATTAAGATTAATCATTTAATGCATTGAAGAATCCAAATCACTATGTAAAAAATCGATACTGAATCACCTTCAAATTAGAAGAAAGTTATTAAATTCCTGCTGTAACTAAACAGATTATAAAAGTAAAATTATATGTAAAAATTATTATTTTTCATAATAAGTCCATCTATTTTAGCTATAAACTGTAGCTCTTGAGTCATGTCCAAAAGCGTGCGATAATTTATATATTCAGTTGCGTATTGTAGCGATGATGACAACGAATGCCCTGGAGAGACGATGATGGTATTTAATGTAGAGGATCAAAGATAGAGCGATAATGTAAAGCAGACGCTGTTGAATGATAACTTGGATAGCAGTAAAAATCTCTTATAATAAAAAATTAATTACTACTGAATACTCGAAATAAAAACGACTTAGAATCCCAACACGGCTTCAACCACAATTTTAATTTAGTAATGTCCTGAACTTCATGCAGATAAGTTCAGAATTAAAGTATTCGTGGCAGCTCAGTTGCAGAAAATTGCTTTTTTTTCATTTCAACGGAAAAGTACGTAAACGGCAGAATAATCTGTAATATTTTCTATCTCGCTGTATTGCTAATAATTGGTTTTGATCAAAATTATATACGAATTCGTTCAGGATTGCAGGACTTTTGAGATGTTTTGTTACTCAAAATTTCGTTTTGAAATTGAGTTCGCTGATGACTTTGCCGTGCGCTCAGAAAAGTGTCAATTCGGCATAAATAATATTCATTTAAAAATTAATTTTTAAGGACAACACTTCAAAAGAATCCAGGTTCTCCGATGTTACACATGTACAATGAATTTCCAAATTTATTATCAAATATTAAAAAATTAATTTTGTAATTTTATTTCTAAAATTAAAAATTTTGTGAAATTTTGTCAAAATTATTTATTCTGTCAATTGATTCATGCATTGTCTCCAACTTTACGCAAGTGTGCAAAATTTCAGATCGATTGGAGAGATAGAAGTGTCCTAAATACTGATTATAAGGTTTGTAGCAGACAGACAGACAAACAAACAAACAAGAAGTGAAGTTAAAGAGAAGTGTTGTAAAATACGCTAAGGTTACCATTGATTGTTGTTATAATTCGTTGATTAATTAAATTTCATGTTTATCATGCTCAACAGAAGGAGAGAATATCACCCTCAAACGAGGACAGCAGAAAATTTTCACACCGAAAAATTGCGAAAAATTTCATTCATCATATTATAGAATAGAAGTGTCGGCACTGAAGAAATAGGCCCATGGCCTATTGCCGATTCTTGAACTTTTCGTGACTTGGTTCGCAAGGGATTCGGCCTTTCAACCCGATCTTTCCATAACTGACGATTGATTGAGATAGCTGCTGGACTTATTGCGTCCGTATGGTGCTAGGAATTTTAAGACTGAACATATGCTCCTGCATAGCTTCGTCTGGACTTATTGCCTGGGCCATAATTTGCTAGGCATTTTAAGACTGAACATATGCTCCTGCATAGCTTCGTCTATTCTGTTCTTGAAGGCGTTCATACTCGGAGCGTCAACGATGCTATCAGGGAGGCTGTTCCACATGTCGGTCAGTCGAAGCGAAAAGAAATGTTGCCGCATGGATGTGTTACAACGCAGTTTTTTTTAGTTTATAGCCGAGGCCCCTGGTGTTGGTTCTTGTTTCAAATTCTAGTAATCCTTCTGGGACCTTGTATAAGCCATGTGTATACTTGTACGGTATGCTTCAATGAGGTCCCCACGCAGACGTCGATAACGGAGGCTTAGAAGCTTCATAATCTTTAATTTTTCCTCATAGGACTTGCGCCTTTCAAGCCGGAATTATCCTTGTTGCGCGTCTTTGAACACTCTCTATTAAATTTTTGTCCTTTTCAAATTTCGGTGACCACACGACGTTTCCAAATTCTAGGTTCGGGCGCACGACAGCAACAAGCAACTGCTTCATCGCTTCTGCATCTAGGAACTCGAAAGAGCGTCTGATCAGTCCAAGTCGTTTATTGGCTTTATTAACTTGACCTTTAATATGCTTAGAAAATATCAACTCAACTCCTGAATCTTTTTCCATTGTCGACTTCGACATCATCACTCTGCCGTTGCAACCGTCTCTTATCATACTGTAATCTTGCTGTTCATTATTCTTGCCGAGGTGGATTACTTTACATTTGTCAGCGATAAAACGCAGTTGCCACTTATCAGCCCAGTCAACCAGCCTGTCAAGATCACCTTGCAACTATACTTTTTGCGACGTATTCTTCACTGTATTATAAATTTTTGTGTCGTCAGCATACAAACGCTAGATACAGCTTTTGACAGATCGTTTATAAACGCAACGAATAAAATAAGCCCGAGCAGGGTTGAATTAATACATTAATTAATTAATTATTAATTCGACCATGTATTATTTCAACCATGGGCCCGAGAACGCTTCCTTGTGGAAATTAACTTGTTTTCTTTCTTGACTTTTATTTTTTACAATAAACCGTGTCTAACCACAGAATTAATAGATTTTTTACGTGTTAATAGATAAAAGAGAAATAATTTATAGCTTGATTGTAAAATTACCGCATAATTTAAAGGTAGTATACTATACTACGATATGCTATAGAAACTATACTCTTCTCTACTATACTATACTCATGGTTGATGTATTAATTCAACCACGACTAAACTATTCTATACTAGTTGATTCAACCACGACTCAAGTTGTCTTCCAGGCGGCATTTAATTCATTTGCTTATCTGGCATATATGCATTCAGTTTTAATTTTTCTGAAACGCATCGAAATAAATAAAAAGCGGCATAAATATTTATTTGAGTGAGGTTTCTACTAAACTCATATTATATATCTAAAGTAAACTGGAAGAAAGCTTAATGATATATGTTGTTAATTAATAGCAGATTTGTTCCTGACTGCCACGTTTGGAATTGTCCGATTTCCCTTGCAATCTTGGTCCATATTTATAAATCTCAAAAATATATCTTACAACTGGAAAGTTGAAAGTTTGATTGTGGTTTCAGAAAAAGTAATATATTTTCCTCTTCTTTTTTGTATGAAGTGGTATTTTTGTTTTTAATTTTTCGAACATTCTCATGAAAGCGTTTTTACGAATCGAACACTTCGGCTTTGGACTACATCCACATCGCCAGATGTAAACATTGCCTGACAATTCGAAGATGTGCTGCTAAGTTGCTAACTGCTGTGGTGTCTATTTAGTTGAGGACACCGCGCCCGGCAGTCGAAACATTGTTGTTTAGTTCCATTTGTGCGAATCAGCCGCAGCAAAGATGGTAAGTTACGTAATTGGTAAAGTTTATACGAGTAAATATACATTAAAATAAGTAATATTGGTTTTGATCTAACAGATTTGCCATATTTTCTCTTCCATAAAAAAGTTAGAAGTATTGTTCTAGTTCTACCAAACTGCAAATGAGAAAAAAACTTTCTGTTCCAATGAAAGCAATTTGAATGTACAATTTCATATGTTTCTGTAAGGCTGTAACTCTTATGTTTCAATTTCTCTTCTGTAAAAATTGATCAAAATAACATATTTTCACCTGTAGATTTGAAAAATGCCTACAACCAAAGTGGAAAATTGAGCACATCCATGAATTGGACTGAAAGGCCCTTGAATCTGGCCAATTTCATCCATCCCTATGGCGCTATGGGTTTTTCCCTATTTCTTCTATGAAAAATAAGTTAAGCTGCCTATTTTTACATAGGATTTTTTAAAATCACCTATGGAATGATCATTTTTACTCACAATTAATACTTTCAATCAATACTTTGACAATCCTGCCAACCAAAATATCCTGCACAACGTAATAACAAGTCAATCTTAAATGTTTCCATAAAGATCACATTGTTGCTGTCATGTCAGAGCAGTCAGACTGCATTATCACGTGATCAGTTGCAAGTTGCAACTTAAGTGAAGACAAATGTTAGTGTTGACTGTTTTTAGGGTAAAATTAGGGATTAGGGGAAACATGTGCATGGGACTTAGTTAAAAGTTCATGGCAGCCGGCGCGGCTGCAATGGCCGAGGTATGGAATTCATGGTTTGAAGTATTAAATCACGGCTTGAAGAAATGGAATCACGGCTGGCAAATCCATAAAACCATGGCTCAAAAAATTCATTTGCGGCTTGCCAAGTAGATATATAATATATTCTATGCCTGCTACCGTATATCATATTTCACTGTAGATTTTCCTCACTTTTCTACTTTTCCATATTGTCTTTGGAAGTGATTGAATATTATTGAAAATTGTATTATAAATATTATAGCAATTTTTGAAGATAAATTACAAATTTATTTAATTCTTAAATCTTACAGATAAAAAATGTGTTAATAAATTTTTTTTATTGAAGAGCCATATCTCAAATGAATACCTACCAACTTTTAGGGCATGGCATTCTACTTATTCATAAAGTATGATATCAAATTGAAAGTTTATTATGTTCCAACACTTAGTGATCTCTGTGAATTTTTTTCAATTTGTAATATATTTTCCAGGTGTCAATTGTGAGCCAAGTGGAGACTGGGCATGAAGATATGATTCATGATGCTCAGATGGACTACTATGGCACCAGGCTTGCAACTTGCTCATCAGACAGGTGGGGAGTAATTCTTCATTAGCCATATTAAATATTAAACTTCATCTCGTGAAAAAAAAATCTTCATGGACAATTTCATGGCTACAGAATATTGCAATTATCCCCACAGAAGAATTTTATAACATATAGTATAAAAAGTGATAAGTATGATTCTGGGATAAAGGATTATCAATTGTTGATACAGGTTGTCTGTCTTTTCCAATAAAAATATATATGTAGAAATATCTTGCTGAACAAATTCATGCCTGAATGTAGGAATACAGAAACAAAATTCAAAGGTTATTCTAAATGTGCTCAAATTATATTAATTTTTGACTGCCACTTGAAAATATCCTACTTTTGTCCATGCACTGGCAAGAATTAAATGTCTTTAAAGAATTAGTTAGCACTATTAAACCCAAATCTGAAGCAAAGGCAATCAAGTTAATTTGTATAATATTGGAAAGCATTTCCAGTATAGGAATGTTCATTTTTAGAAGCCGTATGTTTTTGGTACCTGAATTTCTTGTCCTCACCAGATTTTGGCAACTACGTAAGTCACCTAGGAACAAATTTTTTTGTAAGGAAATATCTAAACCATTACTAGAAATATATACCATCAAACTGGATAATAAGGGACAGACGGGGTAAATCAGGACAGTTGTCCCATATTTTGTAGAAATGTAGTAGCAGCTAACTAACCAAAATATCATAATATTGCAGAAGCATAAATAGTGACGTAAAGTTCAACATTTTTACTATCTATGTAGCATAAAGCAACTTAATAAATCCTATGTTTACTACCTCTAAAAAATCCCTGAAAAAGTGCAAAAAGTGAGATTTTGGAAAAGTACCTCTGCTAAGGTGTGTAGCAAAAAAATATTTGCCATATTAAAAAATTTTACTTACATTAAAGTTGCACACAGGTGTTGGCTTGAAAACATGATTGACAGAATTTGCGTATACTATCTCATTAAAAAAAATGGCTGCCATTTCCTCAAGACGGGGTACTAAGGGACGCCCTCCCCCCCCCCCCCAGGGTAATAAGGGACACCCCTAAAAACGCATTTACAGATTTACCTCGCTCAGTGAAAAAATTTCACTAAACAAGAAATTAATGCATCATCGGTAATGTAATGTTATACACGATTCAGGACGCTTTTATTTTGCATCTTGCACTTTGCAAATAGCATATAGAATTTTTCACTGATGCCATACAGTAGCCCTCGCAATGAGCTTCAAAGTGAGCCCAAACTTGCTTATGAAATGTTTTGTGGTATGAATTTATTAACAAAAAACGCTCAAATGTGTCCCTTATTACCCTGTTGACAGTACTTTTAGAATATGCTAAATTACTACTCTTCAATAGGAGATATTTAGAAATGGAGCACTGTTTTGCTAATTTTTCACCTACCACAAATTGCAGAGAAAATCTTTATTTTCTGTTATTCTTCAAGCCCTTTTAACCATATTTTAATTAACTTGATGCCTGATCTTGAGTGGAAGAAGAATCACATGAGACACATTCTTGGTCATTCTGTGTGCTCTGGTGATGGAGATGCGCATTCTGCCGGTTGTATAGAACATCCTTTCATTATTAATAATATGAAAATTTACTATCTCTCCCCACTCAGATTATTTGGTCTTATTTGTGTGATTATACTAATAGATAATGTAGCATTTTGTGATGGAATGGCTGAAAAAAAATAGAATTTATTTTGGAGGCTTAAAATATTTTGCTATTATCTTCTTTCCTGCCAAATCTTCATTACGCTTGAATATATTTTGGATACATCCTTCATTAAAGATAGACTGACATTTTTATGTGTAACATGCATCTGATACTTAAATACTTCATTGATGAAATTCAAAGCAAAATTCTTGCTGTGACTTGGCTGAAGCAAATAATCTTGGAGACACTTTTTGTCCTTTCAAAAGAAATGCTTCCAATTTATTGGATTACCTCGTGCAGAACCGTGCGTGTGTTTGAAGTAAGGAAGGGCGAGCAGTCGCTGGTGGCGTCCCTGAGAGAACATGAGGGGCCAGTCTGGCAGGTGGCCTGGGCTCACCCTATGTATGGCCGCCTCCTGGCCTCCTGTGGCTATGACCGGAAACTCATCATCTGGCAGGAGGACCAGAGTACCTGGCGCAGCATCTACACCTACACAGAGCACACGTCATCTAGTGAGTTGTGCTGACTCGTTGATTCATTCTAAAACTTGGTACCGTTGTACTGTAACAATTAATTGCAGCGTCAATTATTAATGTAATTACACAGGTCTCTATACTTATTGTTTCTTTAGGTAATTTCTGAAAGAGGCTTAAGCTATCTGTTCATGGAGATTTATTATGAAGGTCTAAATTCGCATTTATTCATATATGATTCTAATTATCCACCCTATGATGGTTGCTAAGCCATGAAACCAAATTCATTAGCTAAGACCGCATGATTAGCGACAAGATTAGCGCATATTTATGATAGGATGTTGTCAGTCAACAGCGTGTGTTGGGCGCCACACGAGCTCGGCCTGATGCTGGCGTGCGCGTCGAGCGACGGCTCGGTCTCGGTGCTCACCTACACCGCCGCCCACACCTGGCATGCCGTCAAGATCACCAACGCTCACAATGTTCGTCTCTCTTATATAAGAGTATGCATCATCCTCAGGAATTGTACGGGACATTCGCTATCTGTAGGAATTTCACGGGGCCTTCACCGTCTTCAGAAATTTCATGTAGCATTCGCCATAATTGAAAATTTCACGGGCATTCATCATCTTAAAAATTTCTCTGGCCATTTATCATCTTTAGGAATTTCGCGGGACTTATCTAAAGTATAATTTGTGATCACTTAACTTGGTTCTCAATTGGGATCGATATCTAAGGGTATGATTTGTGATCACTTTACTTGGTTCTAAATTGGGATCGAAATCTAAAGTATAATTTGTGATCAATTATCTTAGTTCTCAATTGGGATTGATAGCTAAAGTATGATTTGCGGTCACTTAACTTGGTTCTCAAGTGGGATTGATATTTAAGAATAAAAAACAAAAATTTAATCGCGACTCTGCGCACCGTATAAAATTTGAAGTCACACCTTCTGGACGCGGCAGGTTGGCTGCAATGCCGTCAGTTGGGCGCCAGCCGTCTCGAGCGGCGGACTGACGCAGCAGCGCCTCGTCACGGGAGGCTGCGACTCGTACGTTAAAATTTGGCGCTACGAGAGCGGCGAGTGGGTCGAGGAGGCGAAGCTCGAGGGACACTCGGACTGGGTTAGGGACGTCGCCTGGGCGCCATCTTGTGGCCTCGGAACGTCTGTTATTGCGTCGTGTTCGCAGGTCTGATTACCGTCATCTTTATTAAAACTAATTCCTGAAAATCGGCACTTAATCAACTTGCAATGAACTAAATTCATTTGTGATACAAATTTAATAACAGCTTATGAAGTTTCTAGTTTTGTGCATCTTGTACTTATTTTGTATAAGAATTTTTTTTATTGTTTCTATTTTTGTTCTCCCGTACACACCAGGACTGTGTAAATACATTTACTATGAAACTTTAACATCATGGAACAGTTTGTTAGGAACTGAACCTAAACTCAACACTAGACTTGTATATTAATTTTTGTGATACACGAGGAATTATTACAACCAAGTGTGTTAACAGCGTGAAAGGTATCAGGATTAAATAATTTCTGAATACCCATTAACGTTGTAAACGCTATAACGTTATTATTGCCATAACGCCGTAAATGCTATAACCCTATAGATGCTATAACGCTGTTGTAAATTTATATTTATACCATTTATAACGCTGTAAATAACCCTATAGATGCTATAACGCCGCAAATGGCAACTCTCAGGACTGCCGCGTGCTCATCTGGACAGGCGACAACGGTCAGTTCCGCTCCAAAGAGCTGCCGAGTTTTGCGGACGTCATCTGGCATGTCAGCTGGTCGGTCACCGGCAACATTCTCGCCGTGTCGGGCGGCGACAACAGGGTAACGTTTTAACCCTCTTATTGGCAACTTTACATGTGGTAAATCAAAATAGGGTAAAGTTTTAACCCTCTTATTGGCAATGTACCATTTGAGATATTAAAATATGGTAACATTTTAACCTTCATATTGGCAACATGTAGTTATAGTAACCCAATTGGTCCTCCGGTTTGCGTTTGAGGCCAGTTGCGTTATCTTGCCTCTGCTAATCAGCAATCGTCAGCTAATTGTTCCAATTATGAAATCATCTGCTACCACACCCACCCAACATACTTAGAAACTAAATAAATATGCCCAGACAACGAAATTGACTCGCTTTCCGCATTTTTAAACTCGCAGGAGAAGCACCGATTCCATTGATATTGGTAACGTGATGATATCAAATTATATTGCATTCAGATAGTTTCCTGTATATTGGAATTGTATGTTGCAGGTATTAAATTTAATATTAAACGTTTGGTTGTCAATAAGATCAAACAAACTTGGCGCAGTGACCGGATTTATTTAATTCACCAACTTGAATGCAAAGTCACTGCAGTGGCTATATACTTTCATCTGAATGGATTTGTTGTAGTTTTTTTTCATTCGTTTGCCACACTTTGACATGCAGCTCTATTTTTATTTCATCATCTTCTTTGCTTTAATATGAATGTGGCTGCGCAGGTGAGCCTCTGGAAAGAGAACACAGAAGGCCAATGGGTTTGCCTCAGCGACTCCAGCAAGGCTGCGGAGGCCGCGGCCATCACTGCGTCCGCTGCTGCAGGAGAACAGCAAATGCGACCACAAACCGTGCATTGATCCAGCCCTCAACATGGCATAATGAACACCCTTTGCGTGTATTGAATACAGGATGAATGCAGAACTCTTTTGTTGCACGAATGCACTGTGCCGAAAATTGAGGTAAAGCTGTTTTACTTCTGTAAGGTTTATCCTATATTGAGTTATATAATAAATATTTCATACCTAACAATATTTTCTTCGACGTTTCTAGTTATTTAAATTTGCTAGGTTTCTTCTCAGAAAAAGCCAACCCGTGATCTCATAATATATTCGATCATAGAAATTTTACAACTGCGTTATCAATAAGTCGGCCGCCAATAGCTCATACGAATGAGGGAACAATGGACGAGCGCTGTCAAGCATGCACAATATTACATCATCTGAGCAGTCTTTTATCAACTCGATTTAAAATTAAAAATAATCATACGAATATTACAGAGAAAGTAGATTTGTACAGAAGAACTCTAATAAATTTCTGAATTAAAAGCTAATCAATCTATCGTAACAGAGCTCGAGTTTACTTATTTTAAAGCTTTGGTATGCAGCGACTCCGACCCACCCAGCGGGTAAGCCTTGCGGAACGGGCTTTGACGGGCAAGCAGTCCGCAGTGAAAGAAAACCTCCACTACATGCGCGAAGAAATAGCAATCGAGAAAGACTTTCAACAACTAAGTGCATATCAGTGCCTCGTCCAGAGCAAACAACCTTAAGTGAGCTGTAAACTTCCTTGGCCGGTGGAGGGGACTTAGCAAAATAATTTATTGCCCAAAATAAAATCTTACTTTAAACCAAAAACACTCGTATCTTAAGCACTATTCTCATTTTAGCACATCTATGAACAGTGGGACATGAATCAGTTTAAATTATGACATCTCGTTCCTTCGTAGACAGACGAGTAGAACCTGCCTATTGATACACTAACTACCGACTTATTCTGATGTAGAGCCTGGTAATGTGAGTTACCGTCAGAAGCCAGTAGGTATTAGAAGCCTATAGAAGCTGCTATTGCTGTACCAAGTAACATAAGAATGCAAACCTTCATGAGACGAGAGTACCGTAGCACACAAAAATCAATCAAGTTACTGAGCCCTAAGGCGAACTCATTGAGAACACATGTCAGTGAGTGCTAAATCCTTTATTCAACTTTTTTTCGGTTAGCGAGAAAAAAATTGAAATCCGATCCGATACACTGAAAAAATTAGAAGAGTTATCATGGATTTAAGCGTGAGTTTAAACATGCAAATCGGATCACAAGGCTTTGGAAGGCTGGGAAAGAAATGATTGAAGCTAGCCAAATTCTGACTTGAATCATTGTGCCGCTTTTTTGAGTCAAAAGTCTTCGTTTTGATGAACTTTTGAATGAACTTACTGGCATATAACTTATAACTTTTATCTCTTTCTACTCATTGAACAAAAGAATATAAATTAGAACGAAGAGTCTCGGGAAATACTCTAATTTTCTACTGTCTTGAATTAAATCTATAATAACGAGAAAATTCGAGTGCATATTTGGCACTTGCAGCTCCTAGCATCGAATTGAGGACATGCAAGTTATCGCTGGCAGGTGCGAGTCTCATAGCGACACTGACATGTGCCGTGATAAATAATCAATAAATATAAAAAGGGTAACGTCGAGAAGCATCTTATGTACACATAATTACACTCACGGATTACAATCATTTGAGAGACGTGCGGTGCAAGCACCGCTACAACACGGTGCCCTTAAATACCTAATTTTATCAAATTATCATTACAAGTTAAACATGCGGTAAGAAATGAGCTGCCTCAGGGCAGCGCTTGCCACCATGACAATTGTTCACAATTTATCAAGCTGAGATGCACAAGACAAGTGGGCAGGAAGCTATCTTACCTAGCAAAGAATAAATTGCCGGCGGTGAGAGGCGAATATTTTACAAACTTTCCGTCCGCTAGGGGTAGTTTGGTGGCTAAAAATTCCACGAGATAAGCAACCATGAAACATGGCCGCCATTAATCAACCGGAGATTGCTTTCCAGATGCAATAGCATCAAACTACAACGAAAACTATCACGAAAGTATCAATTTCTTCATAACTTTTTCTAAAGTTTATTACTTCATTGACCTCGACTAAAAATTTGTTGTAAAATCTGTTATAACAATTGTCAACAGTCTTGAACACATTCAAATAAAATAAAAGCAGATATCAAAGAGAAATCTCTTGACAATAAGATTTTTAAAGCCAGTCATCTACGTTGAACACGAATTAATCTCCACCGTATTCAACATAATTTAACATAAGAATAACCCAGAAATAATAAATCGGACTTTATTTTTATATAGAGTTTCAACAATTTTTCAAGTTTTCTAAAAACTTCCTTTTCAATTACACTTAGGCGTCGAATAATGATTCTGGATAAAAAAAGACACGATCGCAGTTCTGAAATAAAAATCCATATATTCTAACGTTTCGGCTATCTACACTTTAGCATCTATTCTTTCCAGATTATCATCTTATTTACTCTGATGATGGCTAAAGTGTAGATAGCCGAAACGTTAGAATATATGGATTTTTATTTCAGAACTACGATCGTGTCTTTTTTATCCAGAATCATTATTCGACGCCTAAGTGTAATTGAAAAGGAAGTTTTTAGAAAACTTGAAAAATTGTTGAAACTCTATATACATAAGAATAACCGTAGAACTGACATGAACGCGTTTGAAAGACTTATACCTCACAAGAAAAGATGTAGAAGTGAGACTCACATTCATCAGTGAATGTGTGAACAAATGTGAACACATTTGGCAGCTCGATTTGAATCATACAGACGGCACGAGAAATGACAATATTCAGAGAAGGATTCTTAAATAATACGATACAACTGAAAGACGGAACTGAAATTAAACACAACGGTCAGTGAGAGGCGAGAACTGAGAGGTTTAGGTACAGGCTTGAGCACTCGGGTTTAACTGACCAGCTTCGTTTTAAGTGCGATTTTCTTCCCTAAAATTTTCGGACGAACAGAAAAATCAAACTAAAAATTACATAGAATCACATTTAGACAAAGAGACCGAGCACCTGAAAGTTGTAGAAACATTGCACGGATCCCAATAATAATAAGTCGAATAAAACCTAGCTTATCCAAGCAAAACATTTAATCCATTTTAGCCTAAAACCATAAGTACGCAGATCACCTAAAACTCAATTTACTAAAACATCTACGTAGAAAACTATCTATGAACGAGACGAGATAAATAAAAATCCACGTTTTGCTCAGCTTGCGTTCCGTATTCTAAAGCTGGAGCACGCGATGCCTCGCTGCGTCGACGCATTTGTGGGAATAAAAATCCAACAGGAACAACCTTACGCCATGAGGCGTGCCTGTAGCCTGTATGACCACAGTATCCGCAGATGGTTAACTCAACTCGCGTACACATTTCTAAAGCTGGTTGTATTCCCACAGCTGGCACGAGCATGTGTGGGGAACAGCTGTATTCACACAGCATGAGACAATAGTTGGAAAGCAGGTTGTGTTCAATATGGTCGACAGCTGGGTGTGTGGCCCTCACGGACCACACGATGGTTGCGTTCACTCAGCTGGTGCCCCCACGGACCACACGATCAGGTGGGGGTTCTCCCCCCGGCTCAGCCCCTCAGGTTTACCCGACGACCCTCCGCCTGCGTCACCCGTCGCACTGGTGCCGTCGTCGTCGCCTTCGCCTGCAACACCACATCATCATCGTCAATATTATCATCAACCACCACATCATCATCGTCAATATCATCATCAACCACCACATCATCATTATCATCGTAGTCGTTGATCTAACCACCAACCACCAGAAAACTGGCAACGTCAAAGGAAGTGATCAATCTTGCATGAAATAGCCAATGTAATTAACAACGCAGCTTTGATCGCAACGGCATCTGTTTCGAAAGGCCCACGCTTATTGGTGAATAAGACCAAGGCGTGATTCCGCGGTATCAATTGAGTATGGGGTGGAATGTTTAAATCGGTGAAGAAATATATTATAATAATATAATAATAATAATAATAGCGGTTTCAGCGTTTATTAGGCCATAGGCCTGTCGCCGATTCTTAACATCGCAGAACATCCACAGCTTGTTGCGGTCTCGAACTCACAACTCGCTGATTCAAATTCTGCTGTGCTTAACCGCCCGGCCTCCTTGCCGATTCTGACCAGAAACTGGCGCACAGAGCTGGGATCGAACCCGCGCCTCTCTGCGCCAAATTCGGTACTCTGAACTGTAACCACTGGGCCACCGACTATTATTCGACTAGACAAATATGTTGAATAACCGCAAATAGACTCTTAAACTTGGAGTCGCGTTGAAAAATTTTAGGATTTTGGGTTATAAAAAAAATATGGACGGTAAAAGCAAAAACGTAGGGGGTGAACTATAGGGAAGTGCTAGAGAAATGATGAAGTTATCCCGTGAACAGAATACCAGCCAAGCAAAAAGAGTTCGGCCCTGAGGTGCAGCGTGGTTCGAAACAATTTGAAGTGACCAAGTCATGCGTTGAAACTGTCTTTGCCATATTAATGCTGTCAAACAAACGCCTCAGCGAAGTGCACAAAGATTACATTTCTTATGTAGAAGTTAAGTTCATAATCATGCTGGTGCACACAAACGTTGTGCTGGTAGACAATAATATTAGAATAAGATTGAAGGATTAATTATTTACAATAAGAAAAATGATTAATTAGTTTGAGCCAATTGCCAACAAGCGCGAGTAAGCGTCCGGATCACGCAACTAATTGGGCGTGCAGCGCACACGAGTTCTGCCAGTCCACCAGTGCACGACTCTCAGCAGAGCAATTGAGTAAGTTAGTCTAGTATGATGAAGTCTGTAGCACTGAGGTCTGAACATAGAACAGACGGCAGAATTTCGGCATGGTAGTGGAATTTGTAAGTGAAATCTCCATGTGTTTTCGCCGCAGATCGTGACAAGGGCTTGGCAATGACAGTGGCTTGAGGCTGACTATGACAGAGGTTTTCGTGATGCCTCCTGTGACAGAGGCTTGAAGCTTTTTGTATAGTGCAAGTGCACTCACACAGAACAGCTCATGTGTTGCGTGATTAGGTGCGCAAGTTGCATGGTCAGGTGCATAAGTTGCATGGTCATGTGCGTTAGTTGCATGAACATATGCGTTAGTTGCATGGTCGGGTGCGTGAGTTGCGTGGTCGGTTGAGTGGTTGAGCGTGAGATGCGTGATCAGGTGCACGAGTTGCGTGGTCGGGTGCATGGTTAAGTGCGTGAGTTGCGTGGTCGGGTGCGTGAGTTAGAACGGTTAGGTGTATTAGATAAAGCGCAACTGCTGGGCAACGCGAAACAAAGCGACAATAGTGAGCTTTACCCGCTCGGTCTCTGCAGCTTTGTCGGCTTACAGAAGGCGCTGTAGGAAGATTAATATCCTCACTAGCATCACAACATCAACGCCATAACCAAGCCACGAGCAACAGCAATACAGCCAGATTGCCACGTCCAAAATTAAGCGTTCAAAAGCTTTCCTCTACCGATATACGAGATGCGTAGATCTTGAAAAAACTAATCGATGCGAGGTCTTTACTGAAGACTCTTGTTCATGAAGGCGTTTAAATATAGGGAATAGTTCACGGGATGAATGAGGTTAGTAAAATTAAAAGAGTATGAAATAATCAAAAAGTGGATTAAGAAACAAGCAAAACATTGTTCGAGTATAAGAATTTGCGTGAAGGTACGGTGAATTATAATATTTATGTAAGGCAAATTTATGTCGTACCTAATACGTAAAAACTACATCACGGATTTCATTAAAGGCGGCAAAAGCACGGAACAGTGCCGAGGAAAGATAACTACGATAATAAGTGACACTCAGTCCCGTTGAGTTCTACGTTGGAGAGCAGTAAATATGCGACACAGCGCCAGCGCCAAACCGTAATAGGAACTGCCATGCTCAAGTAAAGGAATATAATTTAAGTATTATAATTATCATAGCCGAGTGCTTGAAACTATAGGGAAAGGTGAGAAACCTACGGCATGCGACCGGCCAAATGTTTCAAAATGGCGAGAAAAGCTCGAGTTAAATTTTAAGCATTAACTACTAAAAGTTATTTCTATGATCTACATAAAAGATTTGGCATTTATGTAAATTATATTGCTATTATACAGGGATAAAGTAAGCTATTGATCCAACAATTTACCAGCTCTAGATGGCGTTACAAACAAAGATGAAGAGAAGTAAAATAAAAATGAAACTTTATTTGATGAACATATGACCATTTTGCACTAGTGGTGAAACTGAACTGAAGGGTTTGGCTCCCGCACTACAGCCAATAATAAGTCACTCTACTATGAAACTAAGGAACTCCTGCCATACGGTTAGCAGAACCAGTTAGTTCCTTCAGGCCGTGGTAATTATGAAGCTCTTCTAAAGGTTTTTTGTGCAGGCGTCTATATTCACGGGTTGAATGGGGCGGACATTCAACATTTCCTACAAATTGACTCAACCGTTGGAGAGTCTCAACGCTGGCAGGACCGTACATATCACAGCACAGATTAGGATTGCCAGAGTGATTAAGATTGTCAGAGTGATTGCTAGTGTCTCCATAGTCGAACGGGTCAACCCGCGAGCGACAAGGACTAGAAGGCAAACTGCGTCTAGAGCTGTACTCGCGGCTTGGATACAACCCTACGCTCCCTAAACTGAGCGGCTGGTCTTCACTAGAGTTGGTGAAGCGTATGTTATGATGCAAGTGAGAGATATTATCTTCTAGTGGGAGATGCCACACCAACAAATGGCTGGCAGTTTCCCGATCTTCCTCCCTCTGGTCCTCTGCAACAGAGGGCGCCCACAACTTACTAGTCCGCCCAAACATATTCAAGATAAAGCTTACTGTCTCCTTCAGAGACAAGTGAATGTTATGACATTGTCGGGAAAACGACATCAAAACACGGCACAGCAGGTAATGGCAAGCACCAGTTTATGGCTAGTAAATCAAAATTATAGCATATCCATAGCCATAAATATCGGACTTCAAAAGCAGAATCAACATTCCCAATTCTCCAGCAAATCTTGTTATGAGGGCCCTTGATAAATCAGGCAGGAATATTTAGCGATGAAAATTACTAATTTACCAATTCTGAAGTCGATGTATCCCTCGCCGCCGGAGATGACAAGCATGTTGGAGGGCGGGTGAGGGTTGCCATCACCGAGGGCAGCAGCAGCGGAGGACGAGGGCGCCGTGCAGCTGCTCACCAAGTCGGGGCCACTCGAGGGCGGCAGCAGCGCAGACAGGGGCGAGCTTCCGCTTCCTGAAGAGGGTACGTGAAGTGAGGAGGAGAGGAGGCCAAGGGAGAGGAGAGGAGGGCGAGGGAGAGGAGAGGAGGCCAAGGGAGAGGAGAAGAGGCCAAGGGAGAAGAGGCCAAGGGAGAGGAGAGGAGGCCAAGGGAGAGGAGAGGAGGGCGAGGGAGAGGAGAGGAGGCCAAGGGAGAGGAGAAGAGGCCAAGGGAGAGGAGAGGAGGGCGAGGGAGAGGAAAGGAAGACAACGGAGAGGAGAGGAGGGCGAGGGAGTGGACAGGAGGGCTGCACGGAAACGTGCATCTTTATAAACGTGAAAATAATTTCAAACATGCATAAGCTGAAGCTAGAGCAATTTTAATTTGACAAACGCCTCGCAGATGCAAAACAAAAACGCGCTACCTGGCACAGCGACGAAGAACTTCACGGCGTCTCTGTGGCCGTGGAAGGAAAGCTGCGCCTGCGCCATGGAGCAGAAGGGCACAAAGGACCCGCTGACGACGGCGCCCCCAGCGCCCGCTTCTGCGTACACCCGCACCATCCCTCCAGGAGCGCCTGACGTTGCTGCAGTCGATCCGCTGACGCCAGAGCATGACGAGCCTATCAGGGAATCGTATGAGAACGAATGCACTATCAGCTTGAAGTTGGAAGTATTTGAACTATATATTTGCGGAAAAGACAGTACAGTATATTTGCGGTAGTAAGTTAATAATCTGGCATTATGATACATGATGCATAAAAATATTACAGTCCCAATATGATGAACTCACTCTCAAAGAGCGGCACCGATGTGATGAACTCACTCTCAAAAAGCGGCACCGATATGATGAACTCACTCTCAAAGAGCGGCACCGAGATGATGAACTCACTCTCAAAGAGCGGCACCGATATGATGAACTCACTCTCAAAGAGCGGCACCGACATGGTGAACTCACTCTCAAAGAGCGGCACCGATGTGATGAACTCACTCTCAAAGAGCGGCACCGATGTGATGAACTCACTCTCAAAGAGCGGCACCGATATGATGAACTCACTCTCAAAGAGCGGCACTGGAGTGATGAACTCACTCTCAAAGAGCGGCACCGATGTGATGAACTCACTCTCAAAGAGCGGCACAGATATGATGACCCCGTTGCCGGTGCCGATCCAGAGGCGATTGGAAGACACGAGAAGCGCCGTGATGCGGACGAATGAAAATCCCAGCTTTCCGGTGCCTGTTTATTACATCATTGATGAGAACTTTGGCTAACTTTCATTCGCTTTTAGTGCGACTAACATTGAAAAGGTTCAATATTTGTGAAGTAACTATAGGTATATTTCATCTTAGAAGATTTTGTTTGCTTAATATAACTTCTGAACGTTGAAAATAATTCGTTTTGAAGGCTCGATTATCCCAGTATTAAAAAAGCGGCTAGTATAGTTATAGGTTTAAGAAAACTTGAAAATAAAATAGGGAATAAAGAAAAATTTGATGTAGAATTCAACTTTTCAAGACTCAAAATTCCGGCAGCTGAATCAGTAAAATGAGTGACAACAGAGAACGGCAGTCAGAACAACTACAAAGCAACGCCGAATAGCGAATATTGTAATAGATTAAACTTATAACTAGAAAAAAAAAAACAAGAAGGGATCAAACGCTCACTTGCAAAAACTTATGCAAAAAAACTATTATACTAGGAGATATAAGGCAAAACTGTACGAAAAATAACGCCAGCAAAAAATTTAAAAAAAACTTAATCAATAAAACTGAATTAATAACATAAACATCATATAAATTTTAAGATGAACAACGGCAAGGAAAACACTTGAGTATCTGTAACGCACCGAGCATTTTCCATACCTAGAAACATAAACAAAGACAAAAACTTGACAAATGTCGGCAGCACACCGAGCATTTTCCATACCTATGAACATAAACAAATACAAAAACATTACAAATGTCAGGAGCACACCGAGCATTTTCCATACCTATGAACATAAACAAAGATAAAAACAAGACAAATGTCAGGAGCACACCGAGCCTTTTCCATACCTAGCAACATAAAGACAACAACTTGACAAATGAGAGGAGCAAACCGAGCATTTTGGAGACGTATGGCTCTATGTCGACGTCCTGGAGGTGCTGGTGCGTGTGTGCGTGGTAGAGGCGCAGTGTAGAGTCCAGGCGGATGCTGACCCATACTCCGTCACCGACCCACGCGAGCTGCCGCACCTGCGACTCCTTGCGGGGGTGCGCGTCAAATGAGTCCTGCCACATCAGGAAGGTGAGTCAAGAATGAGTCCTGCCACATCAGCAAGATGAGTCAAGAATGAGTCCTGCCACATCAGCAAGATGAGTCAAGAATGAGTCCTGCCACATCAGCAAGGTGAGTCAAGGGAATGCTGGTTCAGTGAAGCTGGTATATGAATTAAACATGCTAATTTATCTCAGATTTATCTATGAAGAATTAATAAAAGAATTCGATGTGATAGAAACTTTTTGGGGATAATCCCACACATTTCATCATAATCAATTAATTTTATCAATTATACTACACAATTTAGTCCGGAATGCACCAATATGGTTCATATTAAACAGATTTGCAGGCTGTAGCTAGTTGCACTGAAGTGGTCTCACACTCAAAAAAATTAATCTATCTAATTGTCCAAATAGTGACACACAGCGACTCCGAATAGTGACATTCTCCAAATAGTGACACCCCCACAACACAAGCAGAGAGCGGACGAAAAATTGATTGAAATTGAAAAAAAAATGGCCAAACTGTGTCAGGCTGACCCAGGCAAGGGGAGAGAGTGCATCGCCATTTTAACTGCGTTGAAATAGCGATATTATGTCTGTGAGTGCACCGCCGTTATTTCTGTGAGTGCACCTTGACGCTCATGACGAAGGGGTCGATGACGTGGATCTTGTTCCTGTAGCCACACCAGACGCTGGTGAGGACGGCGTGCATGCAGCGGATGGAGTGGTGGGGCTTGCCCAGGTCCAGGAGGTAGTGTGACCCCAAGTCCCACTGCCCGTCTCCCCCGCGCCGGAAGATCGCTACCGTGCCGTCCGCGAGCGCCGCCAGCACGCGGCCTCGCATGTGACTAGAACAACACAATAAAACGTTAAATAAGAAATATTCACTTGTATAGTTGTACATATTTAAAGGTGAAATAATTCTTCTTTCGATGACTATGAACAGAATTTGCCTTGAATTAATTTTTAAAGGTGCACTTGTTCTGTTGTAGATATATTACTGTAGATATATTACTACTATTATTTCCTGCGATGATTATGAAGAGATTGTGCCTTAAACAAGACAAATAAATCCTCAATTATGAAATGTTTACTTGTTTTCACATAAAAATTTCACTATGTAATAATTCTTTTCGCGATGATTATGAGCAAATAAAAATTATTTTCATAACATATCGTGCGAGCGGTGGTTCTGTGTGATTTCTCGCTTCACTGAATGCCGCTATGTTTTATTTACATATTTTTTCAGGAGTGATTGTATACAATGTTGCAATGATTTATTGAAAAGATTAAATTTATTTCATTCACTCTGATATGTTGCACAAGAATTCGCAGAGTAGGGAACATCAAAAACAATACAACATGATCATTTTATCTCTGATCACCATGATGACACACCATGGACAGTACAGAGTCCCTATGATGACACTCACACGATGGACAGTACAGAGTCCCTATGATGACACTCACACGATGGACAGGACAGAGTCCCTGAGTTTGATGGAGTGTAGGCAGCGTTTCCAGTTCCTGACGGCTGAGTGCACGTAGAGGTTGCCAGACTGTGAGCCCAGCCACATCGTGGGCAGCACCGACGACATGCGCTCCACCACCGCACCCACCACGCCTTCTGCACGTCATTGTTACATAAACTATCTTCATTTGAATAGAAAATATGCATATAGGTAAAAAACTATGAATTACAAAGTACTTTTTGTAAATGCAGATCAATGTTGCATGTAAGACAATCAATGTTGCATGTAGGTAATCTTCATTTGAACAGAAAAATGAGAATATACATATTTAAAAAAAACATTGCATGGAAAAGTATTTATTGTCAATAATAAAAATTGCTTTTTCCATCTGGTATGAAGATTTTGACGTTGAAAATGAAGATGTATATTAAATTATAATCAAATAATCAATTCATTATCAACATTTTGTCCAAAAAATTAACAAAGTAGACTCGTAATTCTCACTGCTACAATGAAATAAACATGGAATCAATGTAGTTTCAACGTCATTTGCTGGCGAGAATGCACTATTCTCCAAGTCAGGAAACGGACAATCACCGGCATCATTAGAGTCCTCCACGCCATCCTTGATGACGCCCTGAGGATCCTTCAGCAGCCGCCGGGGCGGGGGCGTGGCCTGCGCGCTCAGCATCTCTGCAGGAAGGGGCGCCAGTCAGCACATTTATCATCTCAGGCTACGAGCCGGGGTTTAATGACGAACCCATGGGCTATTAAAACTCCCAGTTAGAAACTTAGGCTAAAATCTACACAATCTATTGGAGTTAGACTACACGATTTAAACCCCAATAGATGGGGTTTAGTTTCCAACCCACGACTCACCAAAAACCACATTTAGAAACTGGAGTTTCTTAAACTAAGAAATAAGCTTACCTAGAGGTTTTGGGTACGTTTAATATATGACTTTAGGGCCGTGGCTTGTGCTTAAGGTCGTATTACCCACCGTTATGCGGTCCGTAACTCGTCACTCGTATTCAAGTACGCCAAACTTTATAGACTCTAAAAAATAAATCACCTACCAGCTTTAGTCTAAATGGTGATCAGCTGCATTACAGCTTTGGCATAAGAGTACGGCGACCGTCGAACGCGTTAGAAAGAATAGAATTTGCGTGAGAAACGGTGTTAAGAATTTATATAAGTCTGCATAAATCACAAGTTAACAAGGAATTTAAAAGCAAAGAAAACGCCACTGTCTAACTGACAATGAAGCGGGATTCCGAAACGTTTTCAATATCGATAAGGCGAATTTATTTGGCGTTTTCTTGGCTTTTAAATTCCTTGGGGGTTAAGAATTATTTGCGTATGTTGGAGTTATTAAAAGGATTGGACAGACGATTCAGAATATAGCCTGTAATACTTCATTTGTTGACTGCAAATGCGTACTAACAACATATAATATATTGTTAGTACATACAGATATAACGTTGTTAGTACATATAATAACAGTGTGACATAGCAAGTGTTCAAATAATTTCATATTCATACACAAAACACGTGCGTATACTTTGCGACAATAAAATGTGTACATATATTGAAAAAAACTTACTATACATGAAATATTATACTTTGCGATGATAAAATTTAATGCAAGAAAACCTGCGGGGAGACAAAGATCAGGCATGTGAGATAAAAATAGACAATCAAGATATTGCCTCAAATATCAAATTCAGTCTCATGGTACAGGAATGACAACACCAACAAAATATATCAAATGATTTTGGAGCTACCGCGAGTGAAGGTTCCGTTCAATGACAACTCGCATAAGTAGCAGCTAATTACATGTGGCGACTCACACTGTTAGAAAAATTACCGTTAACGGTATTACCGGCGTTTCAGTGGCCGGTCGGCACGTGAAAAGAAACGCCGTGTCGCCGTTTTTATTCTAATTTGACACTAGAAATCCGTAAAACATCTGATAAAAACGGCGAAACAGTTTATTTTCATGGGGCGACCGGCCACTAGAATGCCAGTGGGACCGTTTTTTCACAGTTTTTTCTAACAGTGCAATTACAAGTAGCGGCCAATTAATCGCCTGTGAGTGGTGGGTTCAGCTTCAAAATACATGAGTGATTGGCTGACAGAGTTACGATCTCTCAACTATTCTTTGATAGTAAGGCAAAAATGGCAGATCTTGCACCTGCCCACGACGATCAAGAAATATGACATGCGAATAGCAAACAAAACTCACCTGAAGGATCAGCAGCAGCGGTGAGCTGCTTGGTGAGCACAGGCGAACAATCTGTGGTAGCACGAGACAACAAGCAGCACTATTAACATCACCACATGGAAGTGACCGCAACAATAGCATTAGCACACGAAGATAAACGCTATTGGAGGCCATAGTCTTAGCCTATCAAGGTCGATGACATCAATGATTGTCATTGAATAAGAAAATTATATCAATTATGACAACAACATCAATCATTGTCTTAATTGATTTCAATGATCGCCGGACGCTTAAGTCACTACATCACTATTAATGACAAAGAAGAAACTAGAATCCTTACGTTTGAAAGGTTTGAAGATGCATTTCAGAAAGTGTTGCCTTACTCTCAGACGTAAATACTTTGCAATGAAAAACACAAGTAAAATTTCATAAATCAAGTATTACAAACACTTCACTAACATTTAACACAGTGAGAAAAAATTTAACATAGTTAGAAAAACATTCAACAAAGTGAAAATCAACTGCCATCGGAAAATCAATCCAAACCATGAATCAAGACAAAACACTTCGCACAAATTGTAAAATTCCCCCACTGTTCTAAAAACAGCACGAGTTATACCTAGAAATCAATCAATTTCTCAATAAGACAAAAAACAAATGCCAACACTAGGTATAAATAGAACGATATAGATTACCTTTCAGCCTGTAGGCGACACAACACGATCATGTGTGAGGACTTTAACGATTTTTGGTCCCAAACCAGGGAAAGTAAAGCTTTATTGGCAGCGTTTAGACAAAATTGTCATGAAAGAAACTTTGATTTTGCATTGATAACTTACTAAGTCAATATAACTCGTAATGAGCGCTAAATAACCTAAAAAGTTAATGCAAAGAGAATGTCACAGTTATGGTGCCAAGATCCGTTAAAGCCACATATGTTTGATGCCCTCACTCATTATTGACTGTGGGATAAAAAGTATCCAACAGGCATCTGGTGTTGAAATAACGTCAACCAAAAGTTATTTCAACGAAAAAACATCAATTAAACGTTATTTCAACGTCATTAGACTGGGGGTGTCTAAATTGGGGCGGGCAAAAGCAGGCCTGACGTCCCCACCACGGACCTTCATTCTGGTCGCGCTCGTCAGCGTCAGCAGGCGCGTCAGTGCCAGCACCGCAGCTGATGAAGGTGAGCGTCCCCACAGCTGACGTCACCCCACCGATGTCATCACCGCCAGCGTCGCGCTGCTCAGTTTCGCGGGGCGCCTCCTGCTGGGAGCGGCTTTGGTGCGCCGGTGTACAGGGCGCCGTCGCGTCCTCCGCCCCGGCGTAGTCGCTCTCCTTCGCCCCTGTCAAGTGAAAAGGGCGTGGGGATTACAGGAATATTAATTTATGATATACATTCGGAATAATTGTAATGATGATGAGCCAAGAACTGATCAGTGAATCAACGCATTATCACATTTCACTATTTTTTCACTTCCATTAACTTATTATGCATCATATACACGAGAGAATAATTCCAAAACAAGGAGAAGGCACTAAGCACTAATATTACGTATCACTTTCATCACCATCTTTGAAGTTGATAATGCTCATGAGGTCGAGAGAATCCTTCAAAAATAACAAGGAGGCGGCCATAACCACCCATTTTACACTACACCTTCATCCTCTACAATGAAGTTAACAATGCATCCTTTTGAAGTTAATTTACAGTGCTCCATATAGTCTAGTGAATCTCTAAAAAGAATCTTTCTTAAAAAATTAACAGTGGTCCATATAGTCTAGTTAATTTCTCAAAAATAATCTTTCATGAAAAAGTAAGAAGGATGAGGTGATAATGACCAGGAACACTGGCGATGCAGAGGAGATGTGAGGAGCACACGTGGAAGGACTGCAGGATATCAGCAGGATTGTTGGCGTCGATGACGGACACTTTGCTGATGCTGTGCGTCGACGTGCAGATCCACACGAGCGACGACAGACGCGCCTCCAGCGTCACGCCTTCCTGACGCGCTGCTTCGCTGTCCTGCAACACGTGGCAATGTCATGAATAATGTTAGTGGCATGTCATGAATAATGTTGGTGGCATGTCATACGATAATGGTGATGGTAGTGTCATACAATAATGTTGATGGCAAGTCATACAATAATGTTGATGGCATGTCATACGATAATGTTGGTGGCATGTCATACAATAATGTTGATGTCATGTCATACAATAATGTTGATGTCATACGGCTTGGGCCGTGCTATCTATAATAATGTTGATGTCATACGGCTGGCGCCGTACTATCAGAACTTGTTCACGTAGCAGCCTATTTCTTGTCCATGATTGGTGGGCTTAGCTCGAAAAGTCTATTTAATAAGCGATTTTAGCTCTAAAGTCTATAATCTGACTCTGAGTTCAGCGTCCAGTCTGCAGACTTCATCCTGCTTGTTCTCGCCGTCCGCGACGAGCGGCGACGATGGGGCAGAGCCCGCGGACGAGTAGAAAATACTGGCGCCTACGATGCTGCCACCGTCCTTTGTACGGCCTCCGGTGAGGTTCACTCCCGCAGCGCACCATATCTGCCCAGACGTGAACATGACAATGATGACACACTAGACCAAATCACAAGATTATAATGCAATAAAATACAGGATTAAAAGCACACCAAATACTCACAATTATTTCTTATGAGGTTTTTGAGTGAAGTGAAATTTCACTAGAATGGCATTCGCACATCCAGGCCATCACTGAGCTTTTTGCACTCGGGGAAAAAAACACGTCACAAGCATGGTACCATAAGTTATCGTACATCCTCGTAAGCTTAAACAATAGTTTGAGTTCCGTGACTCAATGCCCTGAATTTCAAAATGTTAACTCTAGCTCGTCTTCTCACTGATACTACTGCATCAAAAGAGGTTAGCACAGAATAGCACTGGTTTTATTCACTGAATGCAAAAGCACTGGGTTTTATTCACTGAATGCAAAAGCACTGGGTTTTATTCACTGAATGCAAAAGCACTGGGTTTTATTCACTGAATGCAATAGCACTGGGTTTATTCACTGAATGCAATAGCACTGGGTTTTATTCAACTGAATTAGTGCTGAGCGAATATGGTTGCTGAACCGAGGTTGCTTCGGATATCAACTAGGACGAGTCAATGGGAACACAGAGACTAGGAAGGCTGTTCAGAAAATTAAAAAAAAGTACACACAGACTGGAGAAATAATTATAGAAATTAAGGAAATTCTACAGTAACTATGGAGGTAGTAAATGCAATGAGGAACACACTGATTGAGATAGTATAGATGAAGAAATTGAATTAAAATAGTTAAGTAAATGCGTTACCTTCATGCCAGGCTCCTTCTCCATGAGCGGGCGGCAGTATACGGGCACCGGGACCGGTATGCTGGCCCCATGTCTGGTGGAGGCCCCGCCCTTGGTGCCGTGTGTGGGGGTGCCCCCTGTGAGGGGCGTACCCTGCATGGTAGGACGGGTGGCAGGCAGGGACCAGCCGTACGCCTGCACGCGGCCGTCATCTTTACGTACGTGCGCCCTCACAGCGCGGTACTGCTCCTTGCGCTCCAGGGCACGTCGCTGCTGCTGCGCCAGAGACCTGCGCAATGTAATGCTTATTATATTATTTTGTAATGTAATGGCATTAAGACATTATTAATGGCATTATGTAATGCTTATTGCATTATTTTCTAATCTTATGGCATTATGACATTATTAATGGCATTATCTAATGGTTATTACATCATTTTGTAATCTTATAGCATTATGGCATTATTAATGGCATTATCTAATGGTTATTACATCATTTCGTGATGTTATGGCATTATGGCATTATCTAATGGTTATTACATCATTTTGTAATGTAATGGCATTACGTAATGCTTATTACACTATTTTGCACCATTAGTGTTACTTTGTATCACCGAGTTACTCGTATCATTGGTGCTACTTGTATATGTAAGATACTAATAGGCCAGTTTAGTACAATGTTTAGCATCATTCAGTCAAAAAAATGTATGAGCCATACTCTCCTAATACTAACAGTTTCTTCACGTACCACTGGCACGCCCCTTTTGACTGCCCCAACTGGGTCAGGATGACTCGCATATGGGTAATAGGTGCTTCGTCAATTGTATTTTGATTCACAAATATCTCCGTGTGATTGTGTCAATTGTATAACTTAAACAAGAAGGACGCATGCAATTCAGAGATTGAATTATTCATGCAGTGAAGGAAATGTTCACAGTAATTATGTTGCCAGGACGACAAGTTCAATGTGGACTTCAATGATAACAGTTCAGATGGGGAGTGCGGAGATATGCAAATTATTCTACCAGTAATGCTAGTGGATTATTACCTACTTCATGCCTTTTATCTTAGACGTAATTAATTTAAAGGCATATATTTTCGCGTTTGGAAGCATATAATTTTAGAGACGTAAAATTTGAAAAAAAAGTGTCAAACATTCATACTTTTTATCATACAGCACTTGAGTTGATCATTATCATAACAAATTTTGAAAACCAAAATAGATTCTTAATACGAAAACTGGAAGTTAAAAATCGTCAAGAAGAGCTCGTCATCAGCCGAAAAGCGATTTCCGAATTTCATTCATCTTCTTGTGACCAGCCTAACCATGAATAGACTCACTGAAATGACTGCATCTGAAGTAATAAACAAACCCCAAAAGTGGTGGAGTAGGAGTTCCTTGTTCTTCTTGAGGAAATGAATTGACTTCAATATGAAAGTGCCTCTGGAGATTGTTATTAAATTTACATATCAGCGAAGATATGGGCTACGTCGTGGTGCAGACAGGGGCTTAGACTTATTGCAGCAATGAATTGATTTCTAATGATGGCTGCAAACTAAGCAAGTCAATTAGCTCACATATCAGCGGAAGTGTCAAAGAGTTCGTTGTGCAGAGGCTTGGTCTTATCGCTGCAATGAAATGATTTTTCCTGGTGACTGCAAACTAAGCAAGACAATTATCTCACATATCAGCGAAGATATGGGCTACGTCGGGCTATGGGCTACAGGGGCTTAGACTTATTGCAGCAATGAATTGATTTCTAATGATGGCTGCAAACTAAGCAAGACAATTAACTCACATATCAGCGGAAGTGTCGAAGAGTTCGTTGTGCAGAGGCTTGGTCTTGTTGCGGCGTCGCATGGTGTCGAGAGGGGCGGCGGACGGCAGCGCTGGTGGGGGCGCCACGGTCTGGCCGGCGGTGTCGTAGCGGACGCTGCCATGGGGCAGCGCGCGTTCTGACCTCTCCGTTCCGGACCCGCTGAACAGGCTGCTGAACCTGCATGGCAATGAACACATTAAGAACTTTGTGAGGAATGACAAGCAATGCAGGCAGGGTGACGGACAACACATCTGAGAAAGAGTTATTACAAGATGGAAAATAATACGAAAATGGTCACGCAAAATTCTTTCTTGCCAAGATAGCCTCTACAGTCTAAGGAAGTGGTAATAGTTGACATGAAGTGCAGTACGAGAGGAGCACAAATAACAGAGGAAAATAATTAAATTGCTTTCGATGACTGAACTTGCGTTTACCAAACCAGGCACGTTGGCAGAAAAAACTTGGAGAGACAGATAAAATTTAATAAAATGTTTCTATGACTGGCTGGTTAACTAAGTCAGTCTGCACTAACAAAAACATTAGAACCGACACTACAAACTTGGTTATAAAGCTAAATAATAATCAGTGGCTGCACTTCAAACCAACCGACACTACACACTTGGTTATAAAGATAAATAATAATCAGTACCTGGACTTCAAAGCAACATTGCAACTCACAGCTTCCATATGGAGTGCTTGCCCTTCTTGTCGACATCAGGGTCGCCCTTGCTCGCCCTGATCATCTCGGTCCAGCGCACGGCCTCCTGCAGCTCCATGAAGCGCTCCTTGTACTGGTTGCGCTCCATCAGCACGCGCGCCATCTCGACGCGCGTGAAGCGCTTACGCTGCGCCATCGGCACCTCGTCCTGTACGCGTACAGCAGCACACAAGTCAACACTACAATGATCATTTGTGCAGTACAGAATACAAATATGATTTACATGCAGGACTTTGTGCCATAAAAAATTAGTCGAAAATCTCATCATATTCTAGTGAATTTCAAAAGGGGTAACATACAAAAACATAAACTAAGAAATACAAACGCTTAGAAAATCCCACCTCATTTGGGATGCCTTTAGAAAGGGGAAGAAAATTCTAGAATAAACTGAAGAGTTGATATCATACAAAAAATGTACGGTAGCATTTGTGAAGGGGCAACGTAATAAAGCATTATCACTCTGTAATAAAGCATAATTACTCTCTAAGAAATACAAAAATGTTGTGTATCTGACCTCATCTTCACCAGTGCCCTTTTGCTCCATGTTCTCCATCTGCAGCTTGAGCTTCTTGATGTCGTCCTCGAGCTCCTGGATGCGCAGGGCTTGTCTGCTCTTCACGGCGTTCACAGACTGGATCTCCTCCCGCAGAATTTCTTGCTCACTGTTGGCACCCAAGGCGAGTCAAGCATAGGCTATTGATATAGGCTGATAGGTAGGCTATTGGTATAGGCTGATAAATTTCAGATCTGCATGCCCAGTGTGGCATTACATCATCATCTGGCATGATGATGCAAGTCTAATGTGGCATGATAATTTCAGATCTGCATGCCCAAGGTGGCATAATGATGCCAAATCTGTATGCCTTATGTGGCATGATGTGGCCAGATCTACATGTCTAATGTGGCATTATGAAGCCAGATTTGCTTGTCTATTGCAGCATGATGATGCCAAATCTGCATGTTTAATGTGGCATGATGACGCCAGATCAGCATAGCTAATATGGCATGATGATGTCATTCCTCATGATGAACAGGCGACAGCTTCAACATGTAACCAGAACTCACTTGTAAGCCAGCAGCTCATTGTTCTCGGTGATGAGATTCTCGACCTCTTTGCCCATACCTGCAAGACAGACATGGATAATTCCTAATTTATAATAGACCCATTCATTCCATATTATGATCAAATACGCATGACATTATAGAAGAATACGATAATCGTTATAAATCAGAAGCAAGATTTTTACTGAACGCCAAAATGGGCGTTCTAATACAAATAGTTTGACGTGAGCAAAAATTTGGCCCGATATTTTGGTTAGTCCGATGCCATTTTTCTAGGGCAAGATAACGATAAAATTTGAGTGTTCGAATAAATATTAGTAAGTGTAGCAATAGTAAGCTCAGAAAAACTTAGAATGTACTTATCACACGAATGAATGTGGCAAAATTCTGATTAAATCACTTCAGCACAAGTTAAATATAAGAATAGTTAGTATAAAGTAGCGAACAACCGAGTTAATGCTTGCTAGAGATATAATGAATGAATTGTTAAAAATCTTACCCAAGCTCATAAGAATCAGCGTTGCTTACCAAAGAAATTGTCGGTGACTGTACATGTAACTCAGGAGGCAGGAGCCATAAAGATGTCATTGTACAGCGGACCGTGATCATTGTACAGCGGACCGTGATCATTGTACAGCGGACCGTGATCATTGTACAGCGGACCGTGATCATTGTACAGCGGACCGTGATCATTGTACAGCAGATGATGAAGCGTTAATGCAATCACGCATCACATGAGTTAGCAGGTGACATGATGCGTGATGTTAGCAGAGGAGCCGCCCAGCGTCACCCCAACGCCATGACAGATGCAGCAGCAGGTATAGAGGAGGAACTATGTCAGTCCGAGGCGTAGCATGGCTGGTCTAACAGCAATTAACACACAAACTCACTAGGTAATCAACTTTAGTAATGATATTAGTTTTCCCCATCAGCGTTGAATGGATGTGAGTTGGTAAAGGGTGAACTATGTTAATCTAAGGGGAAACACGGCTTGTCTAACAAATAAGCAACAAATCAATTGGTTAATCACCGTCTGTAATGGCACTCGTTATCACTATTAGTGTTGAGTGGATGTGTATGGTTAGCTGGATGTCTGAACCCATGGTCATGACAGCAGTAGGTGTGTCTAACATAATATTATAGAATGCATGTTATATTGCTAAATTATATTGTGCACCATCTCCATGACCCAAAATCACCATATCCATGACCCTTGAAAAAACCTCGATAAAATTTGCGTTACGAAATCAAGAAACGCCCAACTTAGTTGGATAAGATCATTAGAAAAATTGAAATAATGAATGCAGTTGCTAAGGCTATGCTATGAAAATACGAATGTTGAAAACTGTGAAAACATCAATCAAATTTGGAGCTTTTTTAAGTTCAGAGTAGAAACAGAGAGAGCTGCAGGCACTCATTGCCTGCAGATGATCTATACTTCAGCTGCCTTTCTGTTAGGCTAAACTTACTACAATTTAACCGTTTCATTGTTCTAAGAAAGAAATTTATTCTAACTTTGTACAACATTAGTATCAATGTTCATCAATTAGTTTATCTTTTTGGTAGAGTGATGATGGACATCAGAAGCATTCTGGATTCATCAAATCCATAAGTGATTTTTTGTTAAACCGGATCAGAATATATACTAAACAGGTTGGGAAATGTAACCATTGCTAGGTCGTTAGTCAACGTATTATAATAAAGTATTAAATGATTAGAAAATAGCTAGTGCATGCACGAAAACCGTATTCTTGGTACAAAGCGTGGTGGCGGGAGCTGACAATCATCAGGCAATAAGTAAAACATAAAAGGAACTTTAAATAAATGCAAAGCTTAGGGATAAAAATGATCGCATGCTGTGTGTAAAGGCCACAAGCAAAGTCATGCAAAAGATCGATCGTCTCTCTGATCACATTATTCTCGATGTCGTCAGTACCGAAATCATGTGAAGCTGACGACGGTTCCTCTGATGAAGGCTGCTGCTTGTGTACTTCGCCAGACTCACTGCCGCTGTCTGCAGCGACGCAACTCCGAGACAGCAAAAGTTGTAGACAAGACACAGAATATCTCCCACGAGACAGGATATGACAGCGAAGAGACAGAAGACACTAGTGTCGTCTCGCGAGACGTGTACAGCGGATGTTTCAAATGTAATTTGTTGCAGCGAGTGTAGTGGTCGCAGGTTTTGACAAACAGAATGGTTTCACCGATTTGGAAACAAAGATATCGAGATTGTATATGTCATCGTCATGACATTAGTTGCCGTTGTGGATCCAAAGAGCGTTGACGAGGCAAATTAAGACATGAGGAGGTCAAGCCATATTAAGCCAGAGGAGTGCAGATGCAGTAGAGGTTGGAGTGCAGACATTGAGGAGGTCATTAAGCCAGAGTGCGGATGAGAAGTGCAGGAGTGCAACATGCAAGGTAGGCAAAACAAACAACATTAGCAGACCAGACACTCGTTATTATCGGAACTCGAACATCGACACACGTTAAAATGTGCATCTAAATTTTTGTGATTGCGTCTACGTTTGAAATAGGAGCACATAATTTCAGGCTGTCAAGCACAACATAGCAGTTACAGCTATTGAGAGGGAAAAAGGAGATGCTTTTACTGCGTATAACCAAACGAAAGTTTAACTTTTCAAACTAAATAAACTGGATTATAAAACAATAGATAGCATTTATTGTTAGAAAGAAACTCGCCAACATTTAACGTGACAAAGAAAATAGGGAAAGCTGAAGTTTTCGGGATTCTATTTCTAACGAGCAATATTAACTACCGATTGAAATTAATAATACATAAGAGCAGAACATGGATAATTTGGTGGCACAAGTCAGACGAATATTTTGCCTAGGCTAGTTAATCAATTAATCTATGAGTGATTATCACCCCCTTGGCAAGATTAATCGCTATCACTCAATTAATCACCCATCCTAATCATCATATTATACAACTCAGTCTTGTTCACTTCGTCAATAGGTATCAAAAGACCCTCAATGACCACTACCCTAACCCTAACATGACAAACCTTTATAATCCTTTAAACAAATTTTTCATAAGATTAAATTAATATTAAGGAAGAAAGAAGCTGCATTCTCAACCTTGAATTGCGATATTAAAAAAATAGATAATTTTGCCAATGATGTACTTATACGAACATCCAAATCTATAAACTAACAAACAAACGACTGCCTAATGCAAGGGCGGAATAAGAAATGAATGATCTGCTCCTGCCTGCTTTACAAACAAAAAAAAAAAGACCCTACAAGATAATGTGACATAAAAGCAATTATATTACTGGCTGATAAGACTAATATAATAAAAAAAGTTTAAAGAATGGAATGGAATAATTAAGTGATAATAATGCACAAGATGGGCAAGATAACGTGACATAAAAGGCAATTGCTATATTACTGGCTGATAGGACTAATATAATAAAAATTTTAATGAACAGAATGGAATAATTGAGTGAAAATAATACATAAAATACGGCACAGCACTGACCCGAGGACGCATACTCGCCAGGGTGCACCCAGCCTCCTAGCAGCACAGAGGTAATCACCGCAAATATTCATGTATTCTAATTATAAAATCTAATTTTATCATTCTAAATTATTTTTTTAATTATCTAAGGAAAAAATCTTCTATACTAATTTTTTGTTAAAAAAAATTCAACAATATATAGGTAGTTCTGAACAATAACAAATTTCCTGTTTTCAGTCACAGTCAGTGAAAGCCAATTGATGAATGCGCTAGATGTTGATTACCATTGTATCATGAAAAAGTATAAAGTAATATAATTTAGCATAATATTGTAAAGGGACAGAATAGTTTATCCGGTAATTAATTAAACTTTATACCTGGCACTGAGGAATGAAGCTCAGAAACTATTTAAATAGGAACTAAAAACAGTAACTAGTCAACTACAAACAAAAAGATAGAGACCTGCACTAACCAGACAATTGAAACTAACATTATTAATCAAACTATTTCTATATAAATTAAGTGAATTTTATTTAGTGAAAGTTAGAAAACCATTTTCATTAAAAAGTTAATTAAACTAATTACTCAACTGACAGCAGGTAACAAAAAACTCCTAAAGTTTACAGGGATGTTTAAAACAAGTGGATTGCGCAAAGGACCAACAACTAAAAATCATTTTTTTAATTAGGTCAACACTCTATTAATCAAAGTTGAAAACCAATTTTCATCCAAAAAGTGAAGTAAAATGATCTCTCAAGTGACAGGAAGTAAGGAAGTTAAGAGGAATGTTTTAGGAAAGTTTAAGGATGTGTTAGACAAGTAAATGTTACAAGCACCCACCAGTGATGTCGGCGGTCTCGTCGACATCAGCGAGGGCGTCAGGCTCCTGGAACTGCAGCTCCTGGTACAGCGTGTTGCCCGTACGCTCCTCCCTGCCAAACATTTATATTGTAACTAAATTATACGGTGCATTTATCTTCAAATTAAGCTCAATATATCGTTTTTGTATATAGATGATAAAGTGGTACAGCGCGTTGCCCGTACGCTCCTCTCTGTCATACAACACTTATGTTATCACTAAATAATACGGTGCATTTATCTTTACTATCCTTTAAAACTAAGCTCAATATATCGTTTTTTGTCTGTAGATGATAAATTGGTTTAGAATGTTGCCCGTACACTCCTCCCTGCCAAACATTTATATTATCACTAAATTATACGGTGTATTTATCTTTACTATCCTTAGAAATTAAGCTCAATGTATCGTTTTTCTCAATACAGATGATAAATTAGTATAGTATGATGGCCGCGCGCTCCTCCCTGCCACACAACACTTATATTATCACCTTATTATAAGATCAAATCATCTTCAATATCAATTCAAACTAAGATAAACAAACGGTCTTAAGAATATAGATGTTAAATCTGAACAGCGTAATGCGCAGCTGCAGTGTTATCAGCAAACTTTATTATTAAATTCCCTTAGATGTCTAAAGAAACTAAAGTTAGTAAAGTAGTAAAGTAAATTTTGAATAGTCAATATTATTCATACAACAGGAAAAAAGAATACGCAAATTACAGGAAACAAATAAGGGTAAGTTTGAAGGAATCAAAAATTAATTCTCATTAATGTGGAAAAATAAAGATGAGAGAATAAAACAATTTAGAAAAATATAAAAAAAGAGTTGTTCTATACAAAATTATCAGTGAAGTGATAAACAGCTATAAGAAGAATATATTTCATATAAGACATAAGAAGCTGTCTAGATATAGAGAGAATAGCAAGAGTTTCCAGCAATGAGAATAGCAAGTGTTTCCAGCAATGACAATAGCAAGTGTTTCCAGCAATGAGAATAGCAAGAGTTTCCAGCAATGAAATGACAATAGCAAGTGTTTCCAGCAATGAGAATAGCAAGTGTTTCCAGCAATGACAATAGCAAGTGTTTCCAGCAATGAGAATAGCAAGTGTTTCAAGCAATGACAATAGCAAGTGTTTCAAGCAATGACAATAGGAAGTGTTTCCAGCAATGACAATAGGAAGTGTTTCCAGCAATGAGAATAGCAAGTGTTTCCAGCAATGAGAATAGCAAGTGTTTCCAGCAATGAGAATAGCAAGTGTTTCCAGCGATGAGAATAGGAACTTTTTCCAGTAATGAGATTTCAAGCTAGAATAAATCGTAGCAGAAATAAATAAGAGAGCGCAGACTTGTTAGTGAAGGAGCGGGTCATGGCGTTGTTGGCGAGGTCGTCGTCGAGCTCAGGGGACGCCATGAGCTCCCCGTCAGGAGTGAGGGCGCCGGGGCCCCACGCGCCTCCTGCAACACATAACAATTAATTTAAGGCTTGCCAAGATCAGCCTGCAAATATTGACTGCTTCAAGTCTGTGCCATAATTTGATATGGAAGAAATACACGTATGATGAACTCGAGTGTATAAGAAAAAACACTAGGACATATAAAGCATATAAATATGCTAAATGACCTGCATTTATTTGGATTTCTTAGATAACTATAATATTTCTGTTGCCAGCAAGACGGTAATAACAGCTATTGACTGAAATTTGTGATGTCTTATTGATGCTGAACACTAAAAGTTCTTCCACGACGTAAAAGTTGGAAACTAAATTTTATAGCTGAGCTGAATCTGTGAGCTGAATGCAGTGCAGCGATGCTTAAGCTCCATGTGTTCAACATCTACTCACTGGTGTCAGTTGAACGCTCCACGTGTTCAACATCTACTCACTGGTGTCAGTTGAACGCTCCACGTGTTCAACATCTACTCACTGGTGTCAGTTGAACGCTCCACGTGTTCAACACCATCAGTCAGTTGACTCCTGTCAACGTGACTCACAGCGTTGTCGGGCCCAACGCCCGCCTCCTGTGACAAAATTGCATAGCATTTTATTCTCAAATACTTACTAAGTAAAAACTTTATCATTATCTTTATAGATATAGTGATAAATTATATTAATTTTCCACAGAGATCTCAATGAAAAAAAATCATTCATAGTGAATGAGATATTGTAGTGGGAGGCTCATAAGATAAAACTAGAGCTGTTCATAAAATAACTTCTTTCGTAATGTACATCACAAAACTCCAAGAATATCATTATAAAATTGGAAAATCAGTTATTTAAAAGAATCAGTACAATGTGGATTTATTTATTAATATAAATGAGTTACATTGTAAGATACTAGAATTTTATTATTAAGTAAGTATTATGAGCATAAGTTTGATAACTTATTCACATTTAGAAGTAAAGTTACATATAAATTTTTCCCTAAAAGACTAACATAAATATACACATTTAGTAGTAAAAATTTACACATAAATTCGTCCCACAAAGACTAACATGAAGTTCGTTCTTGAGCGACGACGACCCAGAGGCTTGGGTGGCAGATACAGCCCCAACTTCCCCATAGTCGCCGGGGGACGTGAGGCTCTTGTTGGGGTCCAGGGAACTGAACCCAAAAGACACGGGGCCCGAAGACCTGCCGGGCAAGAAGCTGCTCTCAGGACCAGCCCAGGAGGAGGAAAATCAATGAGAAATAAAAATATATTTTTTATTATATACTCAATGATGAAAATTGAAAATCAATGAGAAGTAAAAATATATATTTTTATTATATACTCAATGATGAAAATATCATATGAGATTGAAACTGATTATTAAAAAAGTAGGGAAATAAGTTTAAACAATTAATAATAATAATCATAAATCCTTAAAGAAAAATTCAGCAAAGAGATGAGAATGCCGTAATTCAAGTGATTCCAGATAGCATAAAAGAAATCACCCACCCAGTATTTGAATGACTGCATGTTGTGTTCAAAAGTAGGGACAACTTCTTAAATAAAATGACATTTATAAAGGTTCTTTAAACAAAAAATAACTTGAAGAAAGAAACAAATGGATAAAAAAAAACGAAGGCCTAAAACACAGCACAAACAATTATTCCAGCTACTAACCATTGAGAAACATGAGATGCACTTCGGATACTAAAATTCAGAACGAGGAACAAAACGTATGAAAGAATAGAATATAAACCCAAGTTGTAATTTCAAAGGGAGAACTAAAGCAAACATTCAAACAGAGTAAAGAAACTTTACAGTGACATCATTGATGGTAGATGAAAGAACCCTGAGTCTTAGCAGAAGAACAACTTAAACTGCAAGATAGGCGTGACAAAGAAGTTCAAATGAGGTCCAAAACTCCGGATCATTTTCCCGATAATCAAAAATGGAACAAGATATAGAAGATCACCAAAAGGTATCCAACATACTAAGGAATGCCTAAGCATGCATAGTAAGTAATCCATAACAACGATAATGGCAACCAATGTGATGTGGATAAAACGCAATTGAGATGGAGAGCAAAACAGAAAATTCAATTCCAGTAAAATGCATGAATTGGGATGTGTTAGGGATAAAATTAAGAGTTGAAGTTAATACCAAATAGTTTTTCACTGCTCCACCCTTATGGCAAGGGCATGACTCATGTATAGCATTGTTGAACAAATAGGAAGTGCCCTATAGGTGATGAGGAAAATATTTCACAGCTACAACAGTGACCTTATATAGGCTTTTTTTTATTGCCAGTTTTGATCGTGATAGTAGGATTCGAAAATTTTATAGTGACATGGTCAGACTAAAGGGAAACAACTAGAATAGAAGGAAAACTATTCTTTTATGAATAAAGAACCAAAATCAGACCCTTGTTTGGCCAATAAATGAGAAAGCGACTGGAATATGGAATGTTTTACACATTTATCATTGAGATTCAATAAGGTCATGCTTGCCCAATGACTACTAAGAAAACAACCAAGTTGAACTGCTACATGACAAAACACAGGTCATGTAGGATCATGCATGCCAGCTAGTAAATTTCTCCCATGATCATGAGAACTTAAAAGTCAAAAGACTTTTCAATAAGTTACCTTTATTTTACCTCCAGAACATGTGCAGTCATTGCAACACAGAAAAATACAACAGCTGATCAGAGGAAGTGTGAATAACATAGGTACTATTAATGGTGCTCGTGATTGAGATAATTCCAAATGATGCTAAAATTATGGAGCCAAGAACACCAATTTTATCATTAAATGAATCTTAGATACAGAGTGTTAAATGATATGTATATCTTAGCTGTGAAGTACACTTATATGAGTAATGAGATTAGAATTTTTGTAATAAATGAAGCTATTTAATGCACTGCTCCATCAATTAGAATACTTAACTGCTCTAGGAAAAAATGTAATGCAAATTCTTCCATCATTGAGAATATCTTATTCAGAAGAATTTAGTCAATTTATTTTTTACTGCATTGAATCTCTTGTGTGTAGGACATAATATAGAAACACTGAGCTATTATATAACTTTTTTAAATTAGCCAAACTAGTGATGCATATTATTGAATACAAGTTAATGAACATGTGACGCAATGTGTCTCGGACTTATAGCCACAAAAACCTGTGAAAAGAGTCTCTACAAAATGGATAATGAAGTACTAGAATGCTCACCTGGTCATGCCCATGCTTGGACCCATAAGCTTGTTGGGTCGAGAGATTTGGTCAAGTCTGTCCGTGCCAAGCAAGATTTTACTCCGCTCCATGTAGTCTACATGTGTCTTGAAAAGTTCAGTGTAACGATCATGTAATCGGCTGTACTCTTGCTTCATCTCTTCAACTTTGTCTTCTAAGCGGCTCCCTGCAATGCAGAAATTTAAATAATAAAGGGAAAAAAGTAAAAATTAAGTCATATTTTAGACATGATGGTGAAGGCGTACCAGGTACGGTATTCTGTATTTATATAACCTATTTGAAATTTTAAGAGATGAAGACATCCATAATAGGTAGGTATATAATACTACTAGGTTAGGGTTAAAATAATGCTGATTTCAATATTAAAAGTTGAAGAAAAACCTAAAGCTAATAGGCAAATATATAGCAGCTAACCATGATCTGATGCATTCTTATTCTTCAGCTCAAACATTCGGACAATTGACTCCAGACTTTGAACTTTATTCTGGGTGTTTTTCCGCTCTTCTTCCACATTATCTTCAATCTCCAGCAGTCTCTGTGTAGAAATATGGAAACATTGCAATATTTTACATTTATTTTTAAGGTTGAGTTATTTCTAAAAATTCCAAGAAAAGTAATAACAGATTATCCAGAAATGCATTTTAAATAATAAAAACAATATAATACCAAAATGACAAAAAAATTACATAAATACAAATAGATAAAATTCTTCTATTTCAGAATTCATCATTTGTTTTATCAAGATACAAGTGAAATTGGAATCACAATGACCAACCTGCTCCGAAGACTTGCGCAGCTGCTTCTCCCGCTCATACTGAGTAACAAGCTGCTCATTATCTTCACGTAGAAGTTCAAGCTCCACCTGAAAAATACGAATTTTCATAATTTTATATTTAGCAGAATCCTTGACAAAAATAATCATCAGATCTGCATTAATAAAAAAAGGTATATTGGAAAGATGTTCCTGTTATTGAGATGTAATTATTCTACAAATAATATATACGTATGTAATAATATCTAGGTATTTTTATATATAAAGAAAATGTAAGTAAAATTTCATAGATGACAATTTCTGTTAAAAAAAAAGTAGAGTGAAGAGTTAGATAGAAAATATTTTCATTTAAAATTTGGAGTAGAATTTATTGTTCAAGTGAGTACAAATTAATTTCAACTCTCTACTGTCCCATCTTGTTTCACCCTGGTATGAAAAATAATCAGTTTTTAGGCCACAACCATACCTTTCTCACATTGTTTAAAATCATAAGCCCAATTTAGTTAATTTACCAATTATCCTTGTTTGCTCTGTTCTATTCAATCCAGTTTGGGCTACTGGTTTTGTTCTTATGTTAAGTTCACCACATCCCTCATAGCCTTGGCTCTCATTGTTACCAACTTGTTAACCATTATATTTCACCATAATGTACCACTGACATCATTTAATATGTTCTTTCTTAGTCCTTCATCTGTTTGTTCTTGTGAGTTCTGTTTTATTGTTTTGTTCCACAAGCTGGTACATTACCAGCTTGTGGCCAGACCATTGACCTTTAGACAGGGATAACCCCAACATTTGTTGCCCAGACCCAGGGTTATCCAGACCTTAGGTGGTCTTTATACATGAGTGACAAGTTAAGTGCAGGAGTTGCGGAGTAACAACTTACATGGCATGATGGCATTAACAGTAGATGAATCATATATCATATATTTTGATGTAAATTTCACAATTGAGCTAAACCCTTTAAGATCTCTAATCCACCACAATTACAAAATTTTAGAACTGCCATATTTTAATAAACAGGTGAGAAAAAATTTTATTATAAGTAGGACATATAGTCAAATGGGGTAAGACAGGATGGCAGCCTTCATGAGGTAAGAAAGGACCAGCCCATGGCGTGCATTCTAATTGCACTGAATTTAATTTGACAAAAGAATATGTTAGAGCAATCATTGCCTGTCATTTCAGTGTGTGTGGCAACCCTCTTCTGCAAATAATGAATATCTGGCTAATTTTTGAAGAAAACCTATGTAAAGAAGGGTCAAAAAATAGTTTGGGAAATAAGCTCTGTTTGGGAAATAAGCTCTGTCTAATGACAAAAAATTTTTTGGCCAGGTTTGTGGATGTAGGCAGGTAACCTCAAGTAATAAGCAACTTTTGAAACATACTAGGCATTCCTACCTGCTACAATCACTGCCTGACATGTATTCTAAAATGGGGTAAAAAAGGACTGGACATGGGGTAAGATGGGTCCACTAAATGATCCTGTTTTACCACACATGTGGTCCTAGCTTACCCCACAAATGGTCCTGTCTTCCCCCACAAATGGTCCTCTATTACCCTGGTACAGTTTATCAAAAATAGTTTTTAAATGAATATATTATTGTGCAGTACATAGAGTATTTTGGTCAAAATTTTTATCTATGGCTCAAACTTCATTATAACTTGTTAGCTTTTTTAATTATAGAAATTTAGTGCACTATTTTAAATTGCATCAAAGGGGCATAGAAAATAGGGTTGTCTTTTCCCATTAGTGAGCTGCAGAACTATGTTCAAGATTGGCTGGGGGAAAAATCATTGTGTGAAACATGAAAAATAATTATTATCACAACTCTGTGAGAGGGCATGGGCTACATAAGAAGAAGTGCACCACAAAGGCAGTTAGCAAGAAAACACATGAAGTTTGACACTCAAGTTATTATCCATTGGTTTTATTATCAATTTGATAAATTTGCAGATAATGACACTAATGGAATATACATGAAGCATTTAGCAGTGCTCTACAATGAACCAAAGCCAACCCACTATTACTATGCTTAACAAAGTTTTCTCATGACAAAAACTCCAATGTGACTGATATTAGAGTTGATTCCCATGACACAAACAGTAACAAGTGGTTGTTTAATCAAATAATGTGTTTCTAGATTGATAATATTGAATATCAGATTTGTACTTTTATTAAAAATCATGTAACATAAGAATTGCCAGTTGGTCCTGTCTTAACCCAGCTCACTTTTTTTAATCTGTACAGAAAACTATGTTAGATGCAAAATGTCTGAGTTGTAGCTTAGAAGCCCATTGCATATATACACCTTGTGATAGGTCAGGGTTTTTAGTTATTCTTGGTAAAGATGCTACAGGCTTGTTAATGATTTCAGTCCTGTCTTACCCCATCTGACTATATATATAAAGCTTTTTTTTCTTCAGAGTAACAAACAAGAAAAAATGAGATATTTCAATTGCTGTCCGCTTAAAAATTTTTTTATCTAGTCAAGGTCTAAATTTTACTTAATATTGTTTCATTCCTGCATGAAAATGCTAATGTATTCATATTAATTTACTCAGGTTTACTGGAACAGTCATGGTCATAGGATGATAGGACTTATAAAAGGATGGCAACTACAAGGTCAGTAAGGTCACTGCTCAGCCTCACCTCACTGGTGTCTGGTTTGCCTTAGTAGATTTTACTAAGAAGTTTCCTAAATTGTGGAAGGGCAAAAATCCAAAAACAATTGTTTTATGTGTGATTTGTAAAAATTGCAGGGTGAAAATAGGCCATTTTTCTTTTCTTTAACTGAAATAATTGGAAAAAGGCAATAGGAACAGCCGAACAGATGAATTTGGTCAGATTCACAGACATTTCTGTCTGATTCATGGGTGACTTCTGAGATTCTGATTTCTGACCAATTTTCCACTTAGCCTATGTTGGCTGTGCTCTAAATTCTTTGAGTCAGCGGACTTTCAAGAAGAGGCAAGATAAATCAGTTACTATCAAATAATTAATCAAACTTTACATAATTGAAAAATGAGATTTAAAATCTAGTTAAAATATTTAATTTTGGGATCTCAGCAAAATTTTTAACCTCTACAAGTTTACTTTTCCACCTGACCAGGCTGACCTCTAGCCTCTAGGTCCTGCATTTAAAACCTCAGCATCCTTAACCTTTGTTATGCTATACATGCTATTATTGTGCAATTTTAACTGTTAATGATATCTTATACTAATACTATGGGCTGGATGTTTGTCGTTTGATTTGAATAACTGGCGCAACCGCAACACCATTAAATAAATTCATGAAGATGATCAAAAGATTTAATTTTAACAGTAACACAGACACAGATTGACTTTGGAATTTACCTCGTGTTCTTGGTTTTCCGTGTAGGCGAGATCAAGACACTCGAGAATGTTGACAACAAGTGGCATGAGATCTTTGACAACATTTTCGTCATATCGGCTGATCATACGTTCAAATTCTTGATAAATACTTCCAGCCAATGACTGGACTTTATCTGACATAACAATGTGGTTGTCATCGTGAGAATTATAAACCGTCTCGCCTTCCATGAGAATAGTATTCATTTCGGAAATTTTACTCTAAGGATTTTAGATAACTGTGCTCACTCATCTTCCTACGTCTCTCGTAGAGCGAAGATCGACAACAACAAAGCACACCCTCCACCGTCAACTATGAATCAACACTGACGTACACAGCTGTACAATTTAAGGTTCAAGACGAAAGATTTTTAGGAAACGTATACCAACTGGGAAAAATTACCTTGATATTCTTGTGTCTTTTTTTAATTCGATCAGTCAAAAAATATAAGGTTTTATTACATAACTAACCAAACGAATAAACTAATCGAATTAATTCAGAGCTGGACAAATCGTATGGTGCAATAGAATAGCGAAGAGGAAGACAAGCACTTGGAGGTCCTTCATGGAGCTCAGTAGAACAGGACTTTGATAGGATAAAAAGGATAGAATGAGTTTATGGAGATGACTGGAACATATGCGGGATAAAGGTTGGCTTGGCATAAAAGGCGTACACGACGGTGATTATGAGGCTTTATGTGTCGTAGATGGATCAACGCAGGTTAATTATTTCGCCTAGACATGATCTAAGTAAATCGACTTTCTACTCACACTTACTGCAATATTTTTAGTCACTCGTAGAGTCGTGATGCGGAAACTTAACATCGTTTCCTAGAGTCGTGATGCTTCTTCACAATGATTCCAGTTTGCCAGTGTTCGAGAGAAAAGTGACCTCGATCACAAGATATTCTCTTCTATTTCCCAAGATCTCCTTCATTGAACAATGCGCGTACCGTAAGTTTCTCAATGTTAATTATCAGTAAGATCTACTTAGATATGAACGACAGCATAAGTTACTAGGAATGATATTGGATGCTCCTCGCCTCAAGTGGGGGCCACATTTGTGCCATCTTCGCACAGATGTGATTCGCCGCATGGACTTGCTTAAGCACTTGGCATCACCTAACTGGGGTGTCAGTTGTCGATTCCTCCGTCTATTTTACTGTGCCTATATCAGGGCTAAGATAGACTATGGGTCTGTTCTTTATCAGACTGCATCCTCTGCACAATTATCAAAACTAGGCATACTTCAAAATGCTTGTCTGAGACTTGTCCTAGGCGCTCGTCTTACTACACCAGTAATTTCACTTGGTATTGAAGCCCATGTTCCCCCATTGGCTCTGAGACGGCAATACTTGACAGCTAGTACATATATAAGGCTGCAGTATCGTCCGGCTGGGGATCTTACCGCAGAAGCTGTAAGTGGCGGTGCTACATCAGTGCTCAGCCGGGGCCCTCAGCTGCTCACTGACCTGGGGCTCCCGGTTTGTTATCGCCAGCCTCTACCAGCATTTGGTCCGGTTCCCCCTTGGATTTGTGTGACTCGTCTTATTTGTCTTGATTTCCGCTTTGTCTCTGGCTTGACTGATTCGACTGTTTTTTCTGTTCATGTTAGGGAACATTACCCTGGGTATAAGGCAATCTACTGCGATGGGTCGCGATTGATGGACACTCCATCTACAGCCTGTGGTTTATATATACCATCACAAGCAAGGGCGGTTACATGGCGGCTTAACCCCAGGCATAGCATCCTGTCGGCTGAATTGATCGCCATATTACATGCTTTGAAGCTCGTTGTAAGTGAGACATCTCTATACTGGGTTATTTTCTCTGATTCACTTGTGGCCTTGCAGCTCCTATGTTCCCCGACGGATACGAATTGCGATCTTGTATATCAAATTCGTCAGCTGCTCCTTGATCTGAATGAGAGGAAAACTGTGCGCCTACAATGGGTCAAGGCCCATGCTGATATTATTGGGAATGAGCGGGCGGATGCAGTTGCAAAGATGGGTCATACTCTGGATCGCTCTGCGTTGTTTCATCTCTCGTGTTCTGACACACTTGCTGTGCTTCGTTCTTGCTTTGTCAGGTCTTGGGAGCTGGACTGGATCTCTACATTGGCTGTTGAGGGTAAGGGACATCATCTTGCTTCTGTGAGGACTGATTTGTCCTCTGTTCCATGGGTTGCCAGTTGCTCTCGTCGTGCTGCCGTAGTTCTTACACGCCTTCGTTTGGGGCTTGCTGGGGTTCGATCGTACCTTCATCGATTTGGCATGGCTGACACTCCCATGTGCTTGCACTGTGGGGTGGAGGATACCATAGAGCATTTTCTCCTAGCATACACGCAGTACCGCCTGGAACGTCAGGTGCTGATCAGTAGTACTCGGGCCTTGGGTGTCCGGCATCCATCTGTTCGGATACTTCTTGGAGGAGGCAACTTTTGCAGAAATGTTAAGCATGCAATAATAAGAGCAACAGTCATCTATTTAACGCAGACAAATCGCCTAGCTTCTCTGTAATGCACAAGTAACATCTTGGTTTGAGCTCAGATCCAAAGCTATAAGCCAATTGAATAAGATCTCAAAGAACCAGTGAAATAAGACTGAAACTTCCCAAGTAAATCCTGTTGAGTCCAGGTGTAACAAGTGGTCATCGGGCAGCTACTTCCTCACCTTCAAGCTGCTAACAACAGTAAGATCTAACTAGTTAACAGCCGCAAACCATCACAGTGGAAGCACTCCAGCAAGGGGTGTTCGATAGTTGCAACACCGCAAGCCCACCAGGGCCCATTACACAGGAATAAACGATTAAATCTCTCTTACCTAGTTTTATCATATATAGCCCATTACTAAAATTAAATGAATATGTATAGCGCAGTAGCTAGCTAATGCAACGGCTTGACAGAGAAAATTCTTTCAGGTGGCCACGCCCTAAACCTAAATTATGATACAAGCTGCCAGCGTCTAGGCGCCGTCAATTCTTGCCAAGGTGAGAATTGGCAAGGTAAATACTCGAACGGTCAATTGGCCACGGTAAATACTCGAACGGTCAATTGGCCAAGGTAAATACTCGAACGGTCAATTGGCCAAGGTAAATACTCGAACGGTCAATTGCATTCCTGCCTGTGGGATCTACAGAGTTAATTTTCTTTATGAATGCCATCAAAACAGCAGCGAGGTCAAGTCTCTCTCACGATATTTTTAGCTGAAGTATTTACTAGCAGAATAACACCCACATATCGCACGAGATATTTAACGATAAACAAAAACCATCCACACTCAGACTCTCGGTATTTAGCATGATCAGTCAGAGAGCTGTTACCTGCCAATGGTTTAAGGAGCGTCATTAGAGATGAACGTCTTTACTGCCACACCACCAACTGTATTGGGGGTGCTATTACCCAACCAATTTTATTTGTAGTTTCAGTACCAAGACAATTAGAGTTAATGAATCAGATATTTCTGTTGGTGCAATTACTCCATTACTACACTAAAGTTATTGCTAGTCTGGTAACGTAATACAGTTAGATAATGCAGCGGCGTTTTACACATTCAGAGAACCAAAGTGGCACCCCGGCGAATATTCATGGAGAGCTTCTCGTATTCTGATAATTTGCACACTAATCAGCGAGAACAATCGATCACATTTGACACAGAATTGTTACTTGCATGATATGACCAGATTTGGAAGAAGATGATTTTTATAAAACGAACAAATAGATATAAAATGCACCAAAATACTCGATAAATCGCGTTAATAGCGCCAAAACATTGATGATTCAATCTATGTTTTTTTAACGGTTACAAACAAAGCCGAAAATATAAAGTCTAACTAATACCAAGAATTACATACGTTACCGAAGGTTGTGAACGAGTCAAATTGACTTTTAAACGCAACGTTCAAACATTTAATCTGCAGAAGGTAAGTACATTACAATAAAACAAATATTGCACGAAGACCTTATACAACAAAATCTACCAGAAAATTTTGGGTCGATCAAAAGCAAAAACAAAAATAATCAATTTATCAACAGTAACAAGTAATAAAACCACATTTAGAACGCACAGCAGCAGCCATTCACCATGAACCCAAACCGTGAGTCGTAGTCATTGGTAAAATACTGTTATTACCACGATGGGTTGACATGCACCAAATAGAACTTAAACCAAATACTTTCTTTAACGTTATTAATATAAAAATATGACGGCCAATTTCTGCTTTCAACACCACCAGTCAGCTCCGAAGCATAATGATCAATACATTTCTATTTCCGCGACAGTTAAAATCGGGCCCTTTAGCACAGCTCCGATACCAAGGCAGTTGAATAATCAAATTGGGCAGGTCCAAGTGAATGATATGAAAGCGGTTCAACAAAGAATAAATCAATGTTGAATATATATACAGTATATAAGCAGAAAATGAGCATCAACGCGACCAAGTTACAGGATGTAAAGCCAATGAATCCGAGATCTCGATGAAATAAACTCCGTCTTAAAAAGTACAACATTAATAAGCTCATTCAATCACTATAAGCAAATTGAATCAATAAAAAACAGGATAATCGCAATGTAAAGTAACTTTGATTACACATAATTTTTTTAGTTGATCATAAGTCCTTGTCAAATTTGAGCACTAGTCTGCGTCATAACCCAGTAGTCTCGTGACTCGGAATTGCCTGCGCTCGTATTTTTAAAAATAATTTAGAATTTGTAACTCTCAGCCAATCACCGATGGTTTTTCAAGCTTATATTATCAATCACTAACGGCCTTTTAAGCTAAACCCACCAATCACTGATGGCCTTTCAAGCTTAACCCACCAATCGCTGAAGGCTTTTCTAGCTTAACCCACCAATCACTGAGGGCTTTTTTAGCTAAACCCACCAATCAGAAAGGAGAAATCGGCCGCTACTTGTACTTAGAACGCTATATGTACTTTTGATAGTGCAAGTAATTCATCATAGATAACTTCGACGAGCTGAGAGAGTGGTGGATTAGACACAGTCAGAGCGCATGATTAACACACAAATGAAGTTGAACAAACGAATATTAATGTATGGCAGTCAGAGAGCCACACAGAGTTCATGAGAATAATGGTTCCAGAATAGCATTCAGCTCCTACAAACAACAATCTAGACACCAAATGGCCTGTAGATATTGCGAGGCCTATTGTATTGTGTGTGTATTGCGACATACACACACAAACACACATACACGAAGACATTTGAAACATCAAATTTCACGGAAAGAACGCCAGGCGCAATCGGGCGAAAAAAATTATCATGGAAGCCAAGTGATGAAGAACCTTGATGCAAGAATAAGAGTGCAAGCTTATAATGGAACGGACTCGGTGAATTACATTCAAAGACTCAGTGCAATTATACATCAAAGAAAGAATTAGCAGTCTCTTGCTAACCTGAGCATACAAAATAATATGGGTATCTTTCAGAAACAGTTGGTGCTACAATAATATTTTCACTATATAAATACAATAAAAAACAGTAAATACTTTCTCATATTCAATAATGCCTCATCCTCAAGCTGTTTTTTACAATAAACTACTTAACTGCACCAATGAATGATCATTTAAATAGAAATATTTTATTACTACAATACGTCTACTACTCTAATTTTAATTCAAGCAAACTAGTGATAGATAAACTAGTGAAACTATACCTAAGGAGCCTACCAACTGTGTCTACGTTATTCTGGAACTGAGCATGTCTTACCTAACAATAACTTCTAATTTTTAACGTAAATACACGTGAACTGGAGGCTGTCAATACCAGAAAATAGAATCACTGTGGTCTATTAGAAAAATTAGTTCAGTTGAAATGAAAAAAAATATATATTTCAGTGCGCATTAACGGACCTGAAATCATCAAGATTCTCATACTAATACAATACTTGGGCATAACCTGCATTCAACTAAAAACGCATCTAGCACAAGCCTTTAGAGACTATGTCGTCATAAGAGCAGTCGTGAGGGCGAGCTAGCACTAAATCAGAAACTATAAACGTAAAAAGCCCGCGATAAAAAGAACAACGATGAAAATATGGCAACATAAATTGCAGTAATTATTTAGAAGAAGATTTTGGCTAGTTGAACCCGAACATTCATTGGCTAGAAGTTAAATCTAAATTCTCTGGATGTGAAATGAAGATTAAATAGAGTACCATGTCTGCTACGCACCACTCCAGAATACTGTAACAAATACATCCATTATAAAACAGGCACCTAAGCAGGCAATGATCTACGAGCTGCATGACGTCCCAGCGACCAATGAACGTAAGCCACTAACATTGCTCAGGGATTCTCAAAATACAGAGGGCGAATCTCTCCCAAGATTTTGTGTGACGAAAAATATGCAGCAATAAAAATTCACCAAAGGCTCCAATGTCATTTAAGAATTAGACTTTGATTCAAAAACATAGGTACATGGGATTATTAGTAATTAATGGCATTACTCATAAAAATAGTACATATATTCACAGCTAAATATTTCATCTTAGGTTTAGTAACAGCCTTTAGTCACAAATTAAAGATCCATAAAATGACTTCAACAAGTCTCCGATCCGACAATAATAAACCCCTACAACCAATTAACCAACATCAACAAATCTCAGACATTTCTGTTAAATTACCAATTAACTCCAGGAGCTGTGATCATCAAGCTTCTCTAGCATCAGCCAGCTACCAGAACTGTAAGCATCAAGTTACCCTGACATTAGCACTGACTAAAGCCATGACAATGTGTCATATTTCCAGCACATAATTTTTTTAATAAATAATATTTCCTGGTGAAGGGAGACAAAATATGACGTGATCCCACAGAACCTTTAGTCAATTCGGTTGCAGAAATCATCAGTGAACACCTTGAGCATATAAGTTATAGCAACAATTGTTTGCACCCCGCCTGTAGTTCATGAAATAAAAATGACCAGCTTGCAGTAACTTGACGTCAACTCTATAATACACAACGAGATCCAAGGAGCAACTCAATCACATTTGGCATCTTATCCTGCAAGTAGAATCAATCAACAAGAAATGATTAAATAACATAAGAAACAAATCCATAGCTACAGAGTTGATTAATTATTCACTATCTTTTATTTAGGACATAATGAGCCATCTTCCAGAGAAGATGTTATCCATTAGAGTGAAAAATATGATTGCAGAGAGGACAGCAATAAACTGGAAGAGGGACCAAGTTGCACGAGGCTCCTGGATATGTCAATGGACATTAAAATCTACATTTTCCTTTCTGGAGTGCCCCCAACTAGAGAGAAGCTATGGCAGACAATTGTGGTAGGCAAAAATTATAGAAGGAATTTCCATCAAACTCGGACAAGGGTTTCCATTGGACGTAGCCTTCAGATTGCAGCGAGTTCCGGTCACGAGCCTCGCCCCAGAAGTGTGGGTCCTGCAGAACAAGAATATGAAGGGTGTTGGTCCCAGTCACTGTTAACTCCTTTTCTTAGAATGACATTTATCCTAACACACGATAATTGCATGATTTTTAGCGCATTTTCTCATTTATGGAAAAAATACACTATTGTGCTCGCCATGTCCGTCTGTCTGTCCGTCCGTCCGTGACCTCAAGTTTTTGTCAACGAGAAAATGCGCTCTCTGTCACTCACTGCATTGAGTACTGAGTTATATTTTATTTAGCTATTTCAATTAATTAAAGGATACTAATCAATCAGGTTAAGACTTCACTAAAAACCAAATTAAGGAAAAAACCACAAGCCAATTTCCTCACCACAACGAGAAGATAGGTCATATCCTTGCACTGACAGATGCCCATGATGCCCTTAGAGAGGTTGTCACGATCACCCCCCATCATCACAGGAGAACCTCGAACTTTGAAGTGCTCCACCAGCTCAGGCACATGCTTGTCAAGTTGAGCACCGGAAGCAACATGGACAATACGGCACTCAACCCCATACAGTTCATCCAGCACATAGCCAGCCTGTAGGGCAAGAAAAATATGAGAAAAATTGTTGATCATGTATAATGAAGAGAATTAGATACAAGTCTTAGTAGAGACCCTAAAAACTTTAGAATGGAGCAGCATTCTACCTATGTTGGTAAAAAAATGGTTCAATTTCATTAATAACTTGAGTAATTTAAATTGATTCCAGAAGATTCTCTATGGAAATATTTACTTTTGCCACTCAATTCGCTTAAGACAGGTATAGCTAGTATTTACTTAGGCCTAATCAAGCTGTGTAGTATTAAAAACCTAATATTGAACACATGAGATGCTTGAGTTTTAGTTGGCTTAGATGCTATTGAGTTTAGGTTGCTCATAATTGTTTTGAGGGACAATGCTTAACAATTGTTGCAAGTAACTCCACTGATTAGGTCCTATTTATATTTAAAAGAATACAATAAGTTTATTTTCCTTCTCATTTTTTAACATGCAGTGAGATTTAAACCATTTACCTCAACACAGCCAATCCAATCATGTGAACCAATAAATGAAGGTGGTTTGTCCTGAATCTTGGTAAGAATTTCCTGAATGTTTTTATTGGCAGGGACAGGAGCCAGGGTCGAGAAGCCGCTGTTGTCATGAGATCGTAACTTCTGACCTCGGATCCAAGAGCTTAAACTCATCAGCGTCCTGTATCCACACCCCCAGCCCTGAAAAGTCAGACAAACTGCTATGGAAAGAACTCAATACAAAAATTAGAAGCAATCAGTAGCAAAATGTAATGTTTCAATATTTCATGCATCTCTCACATCCACTATTATTTACTATAATGCATAGATTAATGCAATTCAATTGATATACATTTTAAGCAAATGCACAAAAAATTATCAGTAATATAATATTAAAAATAAAGTTAGAGCATCATACTCACAGAAAATTTTGAACTTAACTAATCACAAAAACTTCCAATGAATTTTCATAAACTCCTATTGATACTCCAATAAATATTATAAATCTTCAAAACAGGTGCTTGAAGCATTGTGTTCAAATTTAATTGTTTTCTTCTTAGACAAGAAATTGGTATCATTTACCATTAAAAACTATTTCATAAAGACAGCCAAGAAAAAATAGCATTACTTTTAATATTATTAACTAATAAAACATGAAAGGCTAAATACATTTATAACTGAGAAGATTTTAATAAGTGTAATGTGTAAGTAAGAAATTCTTACCCTGTCATCAAAGCCATCACATCCATAGTGGTAGAAGAGATAATCTCCTTGAACAAGATTAACAGTACCAGCATCAGGGGGTAAAGACAGCCCTGCATGAGGATTAGTCAACAGGGAGCACACATAGTCCTGACCACCTCCCATTCTTTGCAGTTCCAAGAAAATATTATATGAAGACAAAAGGAAACTATACAAAAATTGTTTATATCAGTTAATTTTCAAGTTTATCCACCTTTATTTCAGTTATACCTTACAATAAAGAAACAATAATATAATCTAAGGAGCTTGTTGGATAAGAGGGAGATAGTAAAACTAGATACTAACTTGAAGCAAAACAATGTACATGGCAATATACAGAGATACAACAGGCTGGGACCTTGGACGAATCAAAGATCTATTTGCTTGGTACAGATGTACCGTATTCAGAGTGTAATTGATCACACAAGAGTTACAGGTCATCTGCAAACTTTATTTATGTGTGTGTTTGAACCCTGGCACCAAAAATATATATGTAGGTTGTAACTCCTAACCAAAATACTTCCTGCAATACTTACCAGGTTAACCAGAACTTTGAAGAATCATTCTAATTGGAAGAATAGAGAAATATTAAGACTTGAGGTGAAGAGGAGGGAAGAAATTTTAAATCAAAAATTTAAATTCAATTTTGCAGTGGGCAAATAGAAATTTAATATAAAAGATACCTACCAAACAGTCATTTCATATTTTGAAATGAGAGTAAAATGGAAGTCCTATCTTTTATGTAGAATATGGGCTCTTCAATTAAGTAGAATATTTGAGCTTTGTTATTGTTGATAGAATTATTTATTAAAGGAATTAAAGGATTTGTAATAATAATATTACAGTTTCATATTTATTATTGAAATCATGCAGCTCTACTGCTCTAATCAGTTGTCATATTTTCAATAAATTTTTAACCCTGTGGGACTTTTGTTAAAAGCTACTTAGGAAGTAATTCCTTTAGCAGGAATATTGTGGCTTCAAAAGTGGCAGGAAGGCTCTAGTTGTCTAGGCTCTCTAGCATCAATCATGAATCATGATCAATGACATGACACATAAGTTGTCACTCAGCCAGTTTAAAATTTAAGGTAGAAATTTCCTAAAATTTCTGGTAAAAACAATAGTTTTACAGGCAATTTCAACAATTGTAAAATAGACATGCAGCCTTACAGCTCACAGGCATTTTCATGATTTTGGTCTGGTTCACGGGTGGCTTCAGCCCAATTTTTATTTTGGCTGATCGGCAGATACCGCACTTACCTGATCACTAAAAACCATTCAATACTATTCAATACTATAATACTATTGAATATTTGTAGGTTTTGATAACCACATGACTAAAAAGCTGTTTCAAATTTCAATTGTGCTTGACTCACTGACTGCTTGAGAGATGCAATTCAGTTTTGTTTATAAAATATATAGTTTTTCTTGAAAGCTGTTAGGCCAGCAGGCAGCAACTAATTTCATAATTGTCTCCACATTTTTTATGGATAAGGATAATAGAAAGTAGGCTAAAAACTTTATACACAACACCTGAGTTGAGTGACTTGAGTCCTGAATCCTAATTTTTCACTCAATTTCCTGCTCCTGTTTTATAAGCTGACAACATAACAGTTTAATCCTAACAATATTTCTAAAATTCTCAAACTGATAATATGAATTCCTAAACTGAGCATTTATAAATAAAATATATCATTATATTATTATTGAAGGCAAATGACATCAAAAGTAAAATGAGGATTGAGGCCAAAGTTCCGAACAAGCCTGCAGAGTGCAGAGTGGCAAGGCCTACCTAGCCAGCAGTAAGCAGATTAATAGTTATTGACATTAGCATTAGCTCAGATAGAGATGGATGAATTATGAATAACTCAATAAGAGAAATCTTTTGAAACAAAAGCACTTAACCAGTGCAATTAACTTGCCTTCCTTAAGTTCCTTGTATAGGCTAGGTATCCTAATATTTAAGGCATAAGGGGCGGTCCCGGCGGTATCATCAATTTTGACAGCCACAACTTCCACAATCCACAGGTTGATTTTAATAGTATGTAAATTTTATGTATAACATATTAACTTTTTTATCGAAAAATGTCATAGGCTACATGAAACGTATAACTATGAGTCAACGGTTCAATCATAAAAAAAGATTTTAGTCACAAATTCCTGAAGATGTGGTCAATCTTATCTCATGGCAATCGTGCCTTTCTTTAAAAAAACCCCCTCACAACAAATTTTCATCTTTCGTCAGTAATAATGACGAATGGTAGAAATGAGTGACGAATAATAACTCAGTATTTGTCAATTATACATAATTTACGGTTAACTTTTTGATAGCAATAATTAACCAAGTTTCATGCAGTTCTCCTCGTACACAGCAAATTCCGGCATTCGGACAATCGGATGTTTACAGTTTACAATAACATTAACCGGAGAAAGTCAGTTGCGTTTGCCGTGGTAGCACGTGTGTGAATTGCGATCTCTAAACGTCTAAAGTAACCGGTAAATTTGTGACTCAAAGTTCTTAGTTTCTTATAAGTATTCAAAACCTTAATTATTTGATTTGTTTACTCATTAACTTTAACCCGACTGGCTTTCTCCCTCAGAGGTTTGCCGGTCCGCCTTGTTATTTTTATTTTTTCTTTACTTAATTTTTATTTTGTTTATTTATTTTTTCTTTTCATGACGAAGGGATTTCCGCTCAAGAATAGAAGGCCTTTCACTTCAGTGGGATCTTTCCTCAGCTCTCGGCGGTGGAGACGCCCCAATGAGGAGACGCACTGCTGCCATCCGTCTTCTGGGTCAATATTTGCACAGCTGCAATATGGTGACCAGGCTATGAAGTTCCTCAAAGTCTGATTACTATATTTCTTTTTCTCCTCACTATTTACTGCCACACTGGTTGGTGGAAGTGCTGAAAGAGAAATACAAAGTGAAATCAACAAGTGAAGTAGAGTGATCAAAATCTGAGTTGTGCTCAGGCTGGGAGGTGTGCTACCTGCATACCCGAAGTCTTCAAATCAAATTAAAAAAAAAAATAACATTAACCAATGCGGAATCAAATTCCGATGACAAGGCCGCAAACTTGAAAATCTACAAATAAACAATAAAGCAAACCAGGAGCTCAGTTGTGGTACTTATGAATGTCTCAGCAACGAAAAATCTAAGAAAAAGTTTCCACCGAGCAATCTTTTTTATCATTTTTGTCTCTTGCAAACAAGAACTCCCCTTTTTCAAGTTGACTGCGGAGACGTACCTACTTACGCTATCACAATGGCATGGTCAGGTGACTAGTGACAAACCACAGAGAGTCAGCTGCGTTCATACGGTAAACACGTTACGATTGTGCTCTGTACCCGTGAGAGTAGCGTTCAATCCGTTCATGCAGTAACATCAATTTATTTTGCTCTGAAATTAACGTAACAAAGTTTATTTGTGACTAACGTGAATACTCATATTTCCATTTTTTTTCATTCTTAATCACACTTCTCTGTTTACCGCGAGTATACTGGCTGAGCTAAGTGTGAGACTTTAAAGTTTAAGAACCCGGCTGGCTTTCTCGCCCCTCCGGCCCTCCCCCCTCCTCTTCTCTATGAGCATGAGAAGAGGTAATAGGTAGGAGAAGGCCTGCGAGCCAGCTTAAATTTTTTCATATTCTAGTAGGCAAAACCGCAAAACTAAAATTTTGGTTAGCTATTATTGTCTCTGATTCCTGTTGTATTGTGTTCTGCATTAACTGTGTCCCTCTTTCAACCTTTGTTGAAAAGGTATTGTGTGTTTGTGTTTATTACTATCTTTGTCATCATATTATTATTTGTGTGTTCGAAATTCTTGTTAATATAATTTAATAGCTGTGTATGTCCAAGAAGACCAAGACCATGTCAGAAACTGACTCTGACATGCCCGAGGGTTACGAGGACATAATCCCAGAAATGCCATCACAAACAGTGACGTCAATGTACCCCTTCAGCCAAGCCTTCCACTAATGAGAGATATGGAAACTGATATGGAATCCAACAAATTACTCTCAACCAAACCCAATGAGAACATCATTGCAGATCTGGCGCAGACCAGGTAACAAAGTGCAAAAACTTGACCAGCCGTAAGCCATGGTCAGGAAGATGTGCCAGGTGCGTGGGAATTTATTTTGTCATTTAAACAACCTGCGCAGTGCGCCATACTATGTTGGTAAAAAAATGCGCCGTGCGCCGTACTTTAGAAAGCTAAAATAGTTCTACTATTTTAGTCGACAATATATGCAAGTATATTGACTACGCGAGTCAAACTGACAATAATAAAATGTAAGACATGTCCGGGTTACTTCTGACTCTTCCGCTTGTCCGCCTTGTCAGATACGGAACGTACGGTAATCGTAAACCTGTCTCTTATACACATCTAGATGTGTATNCCACAAATAAATCAAAGCTGCCAGGCCACTGATCAACTACAAAACATGCTTGGAAAACCTAAGGAAAGCAATCATAAGATAAATACCACTGAAGCAGAAGTACATAGGTCACAAGGTTCCTACCAAAGCAGTTTGCCCAGCATAAACATCATACCAACTACTGGAAATACCTACAGTCAAGCAACCAAGTCAACTCTGACACAAATATCAAATCAGGAGCCCACCACTGCAACCCTAGAAAATCACTCAATGGAAGATGCTACTGCCACACTAACAAACATTCTCAGAAAAAAAAAATTCAGAAGCTTAGCATATCAATTGCAAGTTTCTAAAAGAAATTGTCCTCACAGACTTGTCAAAGGAAAATAAAAAAGGGAAAGAATTACTAACCATTAGTGCAACCAGAAAACAGTTTGGTAGTGAGGTTACTGAAGCTTTGTTGGAGGAGCTGCAAGCAGAGACTGCCATTGCTTGCACACCCAATTGCCCTGGCCCCACTGCCACAACTGTGGATGTGAGAAACAAGAACAGCAGTTGCCCAGAACTGGAGATGCGCACAAAGGGACCAACTGACCTGCAACAAATTCAAAACCTTAAAAAGAAACAAGCAATGCAAGGACCTCCAAAAAGAAAAAGACTTAATGGCTCACTCAAACTTGAATTCCATTCAGCGATCCACTGCACTAGAGTCTCAGCTAGAAATATATCAGTTAAACTACAATGGTCTTATGGGCAAAGTATGTGAGCTTAAAATTTATGTGTTCACCAAAAAACCTGAAATAATGTGCT